CTAACCTCTTTAATGTCTAAAGCAAGAGTCTGACCCAAAATAAAAATATCTCTGAATCTGCTCAAGACATTAAAGATCCTGTTAACACATATTTTTTATGGTTTAAAATCATAAATACGATGCTCAAATTAAGATTTATCAATATTGTAGGTTCCAAAAAGCATTATTTATAAAGATATTACCGAATTTAACATTTCATGTAAATAAAGAGAGGTAACAAAAAATTTATTTTCTATAAAGTTTAAGTTAAATTTTACAATAAGAAATTAATGCATATATTTTAATGATTACATATTATATGCACAAACATTTGCCGTACATATTTTACATATTCTTCGAAAATTGTTTTTCTTGTATAATTGTGTACATGTACATATAAATAATTCCACTTAGTGTGGTTTACAACTTTGATCACAACATACAGGATCTTTAAATTATCAGTATTTTGACTATGACAATACTTGTATCTTTAAACTTTAAGCAACATCTACTTCCTATTACAAAACTACAAATGTCTATAGGACACAAATGCCCCCCAACCCCACTGTATTGTCAGTCTACATTCTACATGATTCCACCTTACCACTAAGTGGCTGGGGTGCATAAAAACAATATCAAATTTTTCCAATGCTGACATCTTGATTTTTCACAATATTGAGCAGCAAGAATTTCAAATCTCAATTTTCTATCCTTAAGTATGCTTAAAAGAAAATAAAAACAAGCAAAACCCCAGATGCACAACTACACATGCTGTCCAACATTCCTCTACAGTTTTATGACTATGTCAAATACTTTATCAATTATGCAATACACAAGTTGAAAATTGCAAATTATAACTAACTCAAGGGCAAAAACTCAACAAAACTGAATAAATCCACATGCATAATGCCAGGTACAACCTTTCACATGCTGATCAACATTCCTGTAAAGTATGTTTACTCTAGCTCAAGCACTTTTAGAGGTAGACATGACACAACTTTTTGGAACGGTTTTTACAAAGTCAAGGGCAATTACTCTACAAATTCTGAATAAATATACAAACAAAACCCCAGGTGCAAAGTTCCGAATAAATATACAAACAAAACCCCAGACGCAAAGTTCCGAATAAATATACAAACAAAACCCCAGGTGCAAAGTTCCGAATAAATATACAAACAAAACCCCAGGTGCAAAGTTCCGAATAAATATACAAACAAAACCCCAGGTGCATCACTAAGGGGTGCTGACAAACTTTTCCTGTAAAGCCATGCCATTTGTTGAAGCTTCCCCCGGGAAATATAGCCCCGAAAAACCCCAAAAAACAAAAAGTAAAAGCCACCCCAAAAAACCCCAAAAAGGTGATTTTTTAAATTTTTCTTCTTCAAAATTTCCAATGGGAAATTTTTTCCAAACTAAAAATTTTGTGAACAAAATGTATCTTTTTTAGGAAATTTTTGTTTTGGGTCGGGCCAAATTGAGTCTTTTTTTTAAATTTGGTTAAAAAAATTTAGCGTATTTTTAACTTTTCCGAACGATGTTGATATTTACCACTAAATAAAGCCCAAAACGCATTTGCTGTATAAAAATTCGCCGTTTAACACAAATTATATTCATCCCTCTACTTATATTTGAGTTTACATCCTTCAACTTGAGCTGATTTTAACAAAGTTTGCAAAAAACGGCCTTGCCTTGTGTACAGAGTCTAGCAAAGAAAACATATTTAAGTGAACGGGGTGTAGTAGTATAATGTACAGGGTTTAGTAGATGTGTACGGTGTCTAGCAGTCACATCTTTTTAAAGTATAGCCTCTTTTATTATTTTTAAATGGAAATAATCTCATTTCAGACTAAACATGGATAGATTAGAGGACGATACAGAGGTATTTTGAAAATAATTTAATATTTTAGTGTTTTTGGCCTAACAGTATAGCTGCGTTTAATTTTTATCGTTATAGAAATTACCATCACAACCATCAGCTGAATAGTGTCTGTAGGTATTTTTAAGACATGTTGAGGAGTCTTCTGACCAACACGCTGGATTGAAATGGTCCGAATGGGGGGATATATATATAGTGTGTATATATATATACACATGTATAACTAATTTAACCTACACATAAGACAGGAGGTCGAAAATTGATTTAAAGATTATGCAGGAGTGTCATTTTCTATAAAATGGCATTAGCACTGTCTTCTATAAAACAGTTTTAGTCGCCTTATATAAGTTATTAGTCGACTTAGAAGATACAAATAATAATATGCCGAATATACTCTTTAAATGTTACATATCTCTCTGCACACTCTGTACATTGGTATGGCATTGTTGAACTGAAAACATAAAATACCATCAACATCGTCATCATCATTATTGAAGAGTCATCATAATCATTTTCAGAAAAAGCAGCCGCATAATTAAGCGGCAGCATTGTATTTATTAAACAATATCGAAATCACAAGGGAGGTCACTCGAGTTTGACTGCAAAAATAAAATATGAAGGACTTTATAGCCAGTTGTATTTCCACAAAGATAAATCAAATGATTAACCTAACTAATCAAGGCGGATATTTTACCAAAGCACATAAACACATGTTTGTTTTTCAATGAAGTCTGAAGACCGGTGACATAATAAACCAATATAACAAGTTTAGATCAGGTTTAGTTCACAATGCATAACTCGAACATGGTTTGAAATTGTTTAAGACAAATTATATAATTTCTTGTACATAATGTTCTACCAATATGGAATGAAATTGTGGTCTTTTGAGTTTTACATTTTTCATGTTAACTTATAGTCACGCATAAAAAGTGGTAAAGCAGGATGGAAACTGTCTGCAATTAATATACATGTTGCGTAACAGGTTAACAATTTAATTAAACATTTTATCCTTTACAAAATTAAAATCATACACTTCACAATCCCTGCTCCCGACATCGATCGTTTTCTCCATCAGCGTACGTGTATATGCTCTGGTACTGAATTTATTTTGCAGAAAATAACATTCGTTTACCTTCTACACTCGCTAACAGTTTTCCATCTACACCCCGTACATATCAGTGCTAGACTCTGTACGCAAGGCAAGGCAGTTTTTCGCACATTCTGTTAAAAGCAGCTTGAGTTGAAGGGTGAAAACTCAAATATAAGAAGAGGGATGATTATACTTTGTATTAACGGCGGAATTTTATACAGCAATGCATTTTGGGCTTGATTTAGTGGTAAATATCAACAACGTTTGCAAATGTTAACAAATACGCTACAATTTATCACCAATTTAACAAAAAGTATTTAATTTGCAGACAAAAGCAAACACTGCTCTAAAACCAGACATATTTAGCTTCACAATATTGTTTTGTTTGGAAAAATCGATGAAGTTATGAAGAAGAAATAAGTTAAAACATCACCTTAGGTGTACTCAGTGTGCAGCTTTCTACTTTCGTTTTCGGTGTTTTTCGGGGCTATATCCGGTGGACGCTGTACAACAGTGATGACTCTAGGTCAAATACTTTTTGGGCTACACACAAAACACAAGTTGAAAATTGCAAATGTTTAATAAGTCAAGGGCAATGACTCTACAAATACTGAATAAATCAACAAGCAAACCCTGAGATGCCTATACACATGCGGACCAAAATTTCTGTTAAGTTTCATAACTCCAGGTTAAATAATTTTGGGCTACTCATGACACAAGTTGAAAGATGCAAAAGTTTACCAAGTTTGGGTGACAATTACTGAATAAATCCACAAGCAAACCCCAGGTGCACAACTAAACATGCTGACTAACATTGCTGTAAAGTTTCATGTCTCTGCGTCAAATACTTTTTGAGCTACATACAACACAAAATGAAAATTGCAAAGTTTTACTAAGCCAAGGGCAATAACTCTAAAAAAACTAAATTAATCCCCAGGTGCACAACTTTACATGCTGATCAACATTTCTATAAAATTTGTAACCTCTATCTCAAGGACTTTTAGAGCTACATGTGACACAACATGGAATGCATGCATGCACAAATGCACGCACAGACGGACAAGGACAAATCTAAATGTTCCCCCCTAGAGTGGGGGCATAAAAATCCAAAAATCCAGGTATGAACCCAAAACTTAAAATTTGACTAAATCACAAGGAATGACCTTAACTCAATAATATTTATTTATAAAACTGAAAATTGCAGAGAAAATCTAAATTCAAATCTCATTATTTCATTGTTTATTGCAAAATGTTGTGAACCAATGTGAGACTGTTGGCATGGTGGTGGGGAAGGGGTACTGTTTTTGAGGGCAAACTGACAGTTGGCACTGTTATGGGTAAATATCACAATTATGATGATTCTCCAGCTTTCATGAAGACCATAACTGCACCTTTGTGACAGTGTTACTAGTAGCTATTTATGTAAAACCATCGGTCCTCTTAAACAGAAGAGCCTGTCATTACATGTACACCAAGATAGCCAGCAAATGGTTAAAGAATGAGGTTGATAAATTCAAATAATACTCAAAGGGTTAGAAAATGTGATTAATAAATACCTATTGTACTCAATTGGTTAAGAATGAAATTAATACATACATGTATAGGGTTTATTAAGTTAGAGAATGTAATGAATGAATACAGTACATATAGCACTAAATTGGTTAAAGAGTGACATAGAGATACAATAGCGCTCCAATTGTTAAAGAATGGGAATAATGAATAAATATAGCACTCAAATTAACAAGTAGTTAAAAAAAACAACGCAACACAGTAGACTGGACTATTCCCAGTGCTTGACAGTAAGAAAGGAGCATAACTCTGTAAAAAAGTAACTCAGAGTTATGGGACAAGTCCCTGTCATGTGAGAGAACAAGTGTGTGAAATTTCAACCCAATTCCTTCAATAGTATTGGAGATAGCAACTAATTTACTTGCATACAAAAAGTTCATTAAAATTAGAGGCTGATGTTGGGGGTGAGTACAACAGCTCTCCAAATTTTCCCAATTGTCAAGCTATATAAAACAAGAATAAAAAGACCTAAATATTTATACTTACAAATATATCTTGAGTAGAATATCCAAGTTTTTCTGCCAACAAGCGCCAATTGTTGCCCACGACAGAACTATCAGGATCAAGTTTATTGGCTAGCTTATAATACATGCTAAGTGACACATACTGGAACGGTATATTGTCCATCATCTTGTAAGATTTGGACTCCTCTTCTTCCTTCATGTTGGAAACTATCACATTCAAAAGTTATTTAAAGTAGCACCATCTGAAAACAGATACCAAGTGAACCAGAAATGTGAAATTATGATAATATTATAACCATGACTTAAACTGTCATTCAAAAAATTGAATTCAACTATGTTTGTGGTCAGGAAAATTATTTTAAAAAGTCTTTCACTTTGCACTTGATCTAAAGTAGAGAGAGATATAACGTAATGAAACATTGCAACAGTGCCTTTTTCTTTAATGAATGCATTTCTAAGACTTGTTAGAGTTTAATTTTTATAACTTCTTATTATCAATCATGGCCCCTGCTATACAAGGAGAAGAGCCCAAATAATGTATAATTTAGAATGATCAAAAATATATGAATTTTGAAATGCTTATTGATGAAATTTTTTACATCATTTATGTAACCATATTTTGTGTACATATCATTTATGTTTCCATATTTTGTGTAAATGAAAGTTCAAAGGTTATTAAGGCACCAGCTGAATTTTTAAAGATAGAATATGATCATCAGTGATCACACTCAAGGGGAATAAATCTTATTTACAAGTCCATCTAATAACAAGAGCACCGCTAGGCGGAGCATTATATGCCCGAAAGTGTTTTGTTTTTTAATAAGGATGAAGCATTTGTAAGACATGGGAATTAAATAAAGTATTACCTCCTTCAAATATCAATCCTCTTATGAAGTGTGAATATTGTGGGCCAAATGGAACTTAAGTTATGCTCCGGAAACTGTTTTCAGTTTTAAGGTAATAGTGACCTTGAACTTTGACCTTGTGACCCCAAAATCAATAGGGGTCTTCTACCCAATATAGACAATCATCCTATGAAGTTTGAACACTGTGGGCCAAATGGAACTTAAGTTAGGGTATGGAAACTGTTTTCAGTTTTAAAGTAATAATGACCTTGACCTTTGACCTTGTGACCCCAAAATCAATAGGGGTCTTCTACCCAATATGGACAATCATCCTATGAAGTTTGAACACTGTGGGCCAAATGGAACTTAAGTTATGCTCCGGAAACTGTTTTCAGTTTTAAGGTAATAGTGACCTTGACCTTTGACCTTGTGACCCCAAAATCAATAGGGGTCTTCTACCCAATATGGACAATCATCCTATGAAGTTTGAATACTGTGGGCCAAATGGAACTTAAGTTATGCTCCGGAAACTGTTTTCAGTTTTAAAGTAATAATGACCTTGACCTTTGACCTTGTGACCCCAAAATCAATAGGGGTCTTCTACCCAATATGGACAATCATCCTATGAAGTTTGAACACTGTGGGCCAAATGGAACTTAAGTTATGCTCCGGAAACTGTTTTCAGTTTTAAGGTAATAGTGACCTTGACCTTGTGACCCCAAAATCAATAGGGGTCTTCTACCCAATATGGACAATCATCCTATGAAGTTTGAACACTGTGGGCCAAATGGAATTTAAGTTAGGGTATGGAAACTGTTTTCAGTTTTAAAGTAATAATGACCTTGACCTTTGACCTTGTGACCCCAAAATCAATAGGGGTCTTCTACCCAATATGGACAATCATCCTATGAAGTTTGAACACTGTGGGCCAAATGGAACTTAAGTTATGTTCTGGAAACTGTTTTCAGTTTTAAGGTAATAGTGACCTTGACCTTTGACCTTGTGACCCCAAAATCAATAGGGGTCTTCTACCCAATATGGACAATCATTCTATGAAGTTTGAATATTGTGGGCCAAATGGAACTTAAGTTATGCTCTGGAAACTGTTTTCAGTTTTAAGGTGATAATGACCTTGACCTTTGACCTTGTGACCTCAAAATCAATAGGGGTCTTCTACCCAATATGGACAATCATCCTATGAAGTTTGAACACTGTGGGCCAAATGGAACTTAAGTTATGCTCCGTAAACTGTTTTCAGTTTTAAGGTGATAATGACCTTGACCTTTGACATTATGACCCCAAAATCAATAGGGGTCTTCTACCCATTATGGACAATCATCCTATGAAGTTTGAATATTGTGGGCCAAATGGAACTTAAGTTATGCTCCAGAAACCAAATTGCTAACTGACGTGCTAACGGACAGACGGACGGACGCCAGGGGGATAACATAATAGTCCGAAATTCTTTTGGGCATATAAAAAGGGGCCTTTTTAATGGACTAATTTACTCAGTATCATGCAGCTTGAATAAGCCTTTACTCTGACCAAAAGTGATCTAGTGAAAGCACTTGCATGACCCTGAGTATACTCTAACACATTATTTTGGCAAATTGCCTTAACATATGCAGTGTTTTAGCTGACAAGAGTCTTAAGACAGGAAGTTTAGCAGGGGTCCAGACTCTAACTAACAAGGATCTGTGCCTGGGTGCTGTAATGTCATATTATTATTGAGAACATTTGAGAAATTGCCTGGTCTTGATGAATGACTGTAGCTATGGACAGGATACAAATAGCATACATGCCATAACGTCCCGGACAACCGGGAAATGCCCGGAAATAAGGTGTCTGTCCGGGAGGCGTCCCGGAGATGATTTATGTCCTTGTTAAAAAAAATCTCTAAAATAATCGACTTTGTAGCCAGAAATTTTATACTGTTTTATACTCTTATTGTCAAGTTGTTATTAGCTATTCTAGAATGCTAATAATGAACATTTATCCCCATACAGCACATTGCTACATGTATATACAGTAAATGGTGACACATAAAAAAAAATGACTAATTCATTGATTGGTATATCTAATGTGCCCCCTTCCAACTAACAATAATTGGCAATAACTTTGATCAATTGAATAATTAATTGTTTACCCCTTGTGGCTTCCTAAACGAAGGTGTCATAAACTGTAATTAACAACTTGCCAGCATAAATTTAAATCGCCTGCGGTCAAACAACGTGAAAATTATCGCTAAAGATGAGTTAATGACATAATCTACAAGATTCAGCAAATGTTTCAGGTAAAAGACATGGCTAATTGTCCTTTTCTTAACATAGCTTTATTCTATTCTGTGACTGATTGAATTTACAATGCCTTAACTTAATAATTACTCACATTGTGTCTTGTTTATGTTGTCATTAAATTTGCAAGTTGTAAATATCGGTAATATAGGTTGTATGCCACTATGTAAACTTTAGAAACAATACTGTAATGCTGATCAATGCCCTAGTCTCAATATTTCGACTGCAAGACAGACTGATTTTATAATCTGATATTTCATAGATGTCTGTCTTTACAAAGAACGACCATCGTCTATATAATAAAAAGCCCTAAAGCGCACAATTTGTTGGGTTAATCAATACCCCACCTCCAAATGAAGTGTCCAGAAAATGAGCCTAAAAATTATGGCATGTATGCATATGGTGACAGACAGACACATAGACAGAAAGACAAATCCCATTTCTATACCCCATCCCCTTTCCTTCGAAAACTTAGGGGACACAAAATAATGTGATCTAGACTTTTATTAATTTGTATTTTACAGCTGCTAATTAAATTTAATGTCAGAAATTATATTCTACGAGTTTCAGTTAGACATTCCTAGCTTATAGATAATATAATGCATGTCATAATTTTTTTATTTGTATCTTACAACTTTTTGCGTAATTAGACTAATAAAGTCTAGAGAAAAAAATATTTGCATCAATCTGAATCAGAAGTTATAGCAGTGCCAGACCCATGCCTGATCTCTTGGAGGAAGACATCGTCAAATTCTGCAAATTACTTTTAATTTCTGCATATTAATAATATATTTTTTAATTATACCTACGTAAAAAATTTAGCATTTTAATTCGCTGCATACTTCATTTGGCATCAGTACTTCTTTCTCCGAGAAAATGCACGATTTTCTCAGAAAATTTTCATGTTGACATACTTCTAAATTGGGTCATCATTTACGACTTTCTAATCAATATATCGTTGCCATCTCATCCATCCAATTATGAATATAGTCAAGATTTAATTTAAGCAGACGATTTGGTATATGTTGTAGATGCTATCACGGATTTATATTACATTGTAATACATTGTAATATAAATCCGTGATGCTATAGAGTAAGACAATGAAATATTATACGAGATATCTAAATCCATTTAATTTTTAACCTTCTTTGTTTCATGAGAATTTATTATAACAAAATGCACATTAAATTTTTGCACTTTTAAAGGGAGTGCAGTGAGGTTTTGTGACATGACAGGACTAGAAATAAGCTTTCGAGATTCTTTGAATATTCCATTTGATGAGGGTGTAGACCAAAAACTTGTATGCAAAATTTCAGATCATTTGCTTACTCTGTTTTTCTTTTTAAGAATAATTATTTTAATTGTGAAAAATGACACAAATTTAAACGAACGAACGAATGAATGAATATCCAATATATTGTTGATTATAATTCTTAACTATCTTTTTGCATATCTTTTTGATTTAAGTGCCTCAGCTGATCTATGTTAGAAATCCAAGTATTATGATTTTAGGCTTTTGGACCTCAGTGGAGTTCCTTTAAGAATATTTAAATGATAAAAATTCTTGATACTTAATCAAAGAGGGCTTGTTGTCAACGTTGTCTGTGTCTGTAAAATAGTTTGTATGCACTTGTTTTTTGTCCAGCCTTAATGCAGAGTTGTTGTTCCTGTCTCAAAAATTGTGGAGTGGAAAGCATTGTGTAGGAGATTTAAATTGTACATTCTTAGGCAACATCTATATCTTAGACAAGATCTAGATCTACATCAAAAGTCAATGTTTAAAAATGACCTTTTTAAATTAGTTGACGATGTTATTGTCAACAGCTCTGGGATGATATTGCCAATGTGCAGATGTCCATGAATGTATTTGAATTTAATGTAAATTTGTATAAAACTATATATATAAGAACACGGGTAACAATGAAATTGTTATTCTTTTACTTGAAGTCAGTTTGCTACACAAACATTAAACTACCTCCATATTGACATTTATTTATCATATACATGCATGTGGCACTTTTAGCTAGGAGACTACCGCGCGGACACTGAGAGGTGTACATTGACGTGAAGCTGTGAAGCTAAGAGTTTGAGGAGAAGCTCATTGTGTCTTCTATAGTTGCAGTGAGGTTCTCAGTCAGAATCCTAGATCAACCCTTAGCAAAGTTTGTCTTCGCCAATTTGATTATTTTCAGCATAATAAAACCAGTGATCACTTAAAATATATTGACATTCCATACAAATTCGATTATAAGCCGCAGCTTATTTTAATGTTTGGTAGGAGATTGCTGGGTTATTTCCAAGGATGGATTATTTTCAAGGGTGGTATATCTCTGGGTGAAATGAAATCTCACCCGATTTTTTTTTTCAAAGAAATTTTAAATTCATAATTAAAGTCTATTTTCAGTAGCTGGTGTTTTCAAGTATACGAAACAATAAACATTAATGTATAATGTAGAAATTAAGATTTTACCGTTACGTACGGTTTTGTTTTCTGTAGCCTGTGAGTATTTTGTTTTAATAAACATCACAGTATTGTAACCTCTTGTGTTTTTTTGTTTCTTCAGAAAATTTCACACTAAAACACAAACATCAAATTTATCTATGTATTATAATTAGCAGGAATTTTGTCAGAGAGCTTTTATTAGAATGTAAGTGAAAGGCGTATCTGATAAGCTCTTTTTCAAGGACGGCTATGTTTCAAGTTGTCTTTGATAATAGGAAAATGCTGTTTTTTTAGACAAGCTTACTTTCAAGACATGCTTATTGTCGATTTTTTTTAATCATAAGAACTTCCAATCAATGCGTCGGGCCCGTGTAGGGCTTTATAGTTAGGTGTTGGAGTTTGTTCCTGCGCCAGAATCAGTATTGCTAAAGACAACGTTTTCTTTATATATATCTTGAGCAAATGAAATATTTCTTATGCAAGGGCACATTGTAAGGCTGTGTAAGGGGTGAATGCTCAGTGGTACAAATAGGTGTAAAGCTTGGCAGAAGGGTGACCACATGACATTTCTTTACGATAAAATATTGGGTTACCGCTAATAGCTTGAGCGTATTTTTCATTATTTCTATCAATATTTGAATAATAAGGATACATCTAGGCAAAATGGTTCCGATCCCAATGGTACATATTTTTTCCTATGTAGCTCTTGTATTTTCCTGTTACGGCATTTCAAGTTCCTTTTGGACGAACCAACATTTTTTTACAGTATATATATTTTTTAAGTACTTGCTACATTTATCTCAGCTTCTTTGAAAATGAAAATGTCTTATCTGTTATATATACAACCTACTATACTTTAAACAATTTAATGCCTTAATAAGCAATATGCCTCCAGATTTAAAGCTAATTTTCATGAAAAGTTTGAAACTGCATTGTGCTTTACACATTCAACAATCAAACAAAACTTAGTGTAGATCTATTTTTCTCAAGTTTGATTTTCTTGAAATATTTTAGCTCATCTGGATGTGTGCAGTTCTAGAAAAAGATGCAACATTCTAGTTTTGCCCGGGAAGACATAAAAGTCTAAATTGCGTCTTCTATAAATGTACATATATACCTATCAAATGTGCACGAATGTCACGTATTTTGATATACTCTGATAGTAGTTATTGCGTATTTAGGATAGCTCTCTACACAGATATGAAAAATTTAATCAACATAGTACTATAAACATTTTTTGGAAATATTTTGTTCATGTGATAATATAAAATATGGCAAAGTTATCTTTTGCTTAACGAAGACGATAAAGATGTGCTAAACGAGAGACGATTTATACCTTACCCGGAAGCAATGGCCTCAAAAAACAAACAAAATGCTTGGAAATTCACGCCCCGTTTATTTTAAATAAAGGGAAGGTAAACATCAGTTTCAGATGTATATACTTAATTAAAAGATAACGATGCAGGAGTCGTCATCGTTAATTGTTGAAAAATGTCAAACAGTATTTACGATTTTATACAGATGTTTATCAAAAATGAAAATGAGATGCTGTTGAGTCTAAAAAAATGTATTCTTCTTCATAACTTCCTATTTTCAAATGACAGGCGAAAAGAAAAAAAATCTAAGAAAATTAATTTTTACGAATAGTTGCTTAGATGACACTGGTTAAGTTATTGAGAAAAAAATAAAGTTTATTTCTAGCAGAAAAGACAACTTGACTGACACTCACTTTGAACAGTGAGTGTTCAAAAGGTTCTAGAATTTATTTTGCGAAAACCGTTTGCTTATATACTGAAAGGTCCTGAAACGTACCAGCCAGAACTGGTGAATATATCATAGTGTTTCTTGGTAACAATCGTAAATCCCAGGGCACTTCAAAATTTACTGACCTACACTGTTTTTAGAGAACATAAATGCGAGGGATCCTTTTTCATCATTTTGGCCTCATAATTGTAATTAATTTCAAAAGTTTAAATAGTTGTTGTTTATGATTTGACAAGTAAATTTTACTTGTTCGACATAAAAATTGGCCATCCTAATTCCTATATGCTAAATTAGTAAAGTTTACTCACACAATACACACATACTATGAAAGAGATCTGTCTGTGTTATTTTTTTTACATACATGCCATATCCCTTGATGGGGACATTGTAAACTGTTCTGAGCTGTTGTATGTAAATTGCTTGGCAGGTATTGTAATGGATCGTAACGTCATGATTTAGTCAATGAAATTTAACATCTTCAACAGGTTCATAAAATAACACATTATCTCAACTAGAGCACAATTACTTAGATTAAAGAAAATTCATATTTTAAGATGGATTTCTTTTGTATGTGATTTAAATTTTTATGCTTCCACTTAGAAAGAGGCAAGCATACTGTAATGGGGTGTCTGTACTTACATTACGTCAATGTGCCTACATCCTGTTATCTTTTTCAGCTCAATAACTTGCAAATGATTATGCTGTGATTTATGTAAATATTAGTAGTATTGAAAAGGAATTGTCAGGTTGTTCCTACATAGGATGTGCTAATTTCCATTCAGAAGAAATAAAATGTTCTTTGCCCATGCATGAATCAGTGAATACTAAGCTAAATTGGGTATATAATAATTAAGAATCACAATGCCTGTGAATGTGCTACCAATGAGTCATTAAAAAAATCTTCAGGATAAAGGCTTCATTCAAGACTAGGTTTTATGAGCATAATTGCTTCACTTGATTTATGTAAAAGACTTTATGTTTTTTAGCCATTTTGACCTCAGATGAGCTTCTGTAAATTCTTGATGTGCATTAAGATCATAGATAATGAAATAGAATATTTCTTTTTTTAGCTTCGTTAATTGGTCACAATGGATGGTGCTTCAGGAAGTAATAATGAAGTTCCCCCTCCTGTACCCCCGAGAACATGGATGGGGCGTCCAGGTATGTAATAAATATTCAGGATTTATTTTGCATTTCAGGGCTTCCATTAATTTCCAAAATTAAGAAGTCAGATACTGAAAATTTCTGGCATTAGAAGTCTTATTATGTAAGGAAAGAAGGAAAAGCATTATATTTTGAAAATCAGGGATAAATGACTCCCAAACTTTTATAATAGAAGCTCTGCATTTAAAGGAAAAACAAACAATAAATAATAATTACTGAATGTTCGTGTTTGTGTGGCTTATCTGTTTATATACTGCATTTATAGTGGAATACCTGCAGGGTCTTTTGGTAATGGAAAAAATCATTGTGTTGTGGAAAAGGGGGAAATTTAGAAGTGGATAAAACTGTTCATTTGTTATGATAAAGTGGAAATAAGTACTTTAAAAAAAATTTAAAGAGATAAACAGGACTGAATTTCGGCCCCAGAAAAGCTCTTTTTATTAAATATATTATTTCCTTAGTTTGCTGTTAAAGTTGAATAGTTGAAATCACCAAAGCCAAAGCCTGTTATGAAATTGTGGATTGAAATCTGGCTAAGGTTGCCAAAAATGTCATTAATGTTAGATTCCTATTATGTCTACTTTATGGAAGATTGTAGGGTATACTAGTACATGTACTAATTAGCCAGTTATGCCATGGTTTCATTATACATGTAGTATTTGAAAGTCGTAAAGAAAATGGGTCATTTGTAAAATTGAGAGGGTTTATTATAATTAACTCTGAAGAAATGTAAAAGTAAAATTACTCAAAGTAGCAGTAATTCAGGGAAAATTTCCTTGCTATAAACTAGTAATAATGAAACTCCTGATTGTGTAATATAAGGCCTAGCAAAGCTGAAAAATCTCTATATGACTTTAAAAATGTTGATATATGTATGACACAAACAAAGAAAGTGTAACACCATTGTCTTCCTTGTTGCTTGTTATTGTTAAATATGTACATGTAATTCTTTTTTTTTTTATAATTTGATTTGATAAAGACAAAGTTTAGAAATACAGCCATACATGTATGTTGAAATGTTCAGTAATTTTTATTTTTGTGTTAGTTTTAAACACTATATTGCAGATTTATTTCAACTGCTTGGCCTGAATCATCCTTATTTTTGAAAACTCAAAGTCTCATGTTATGTTCAAAGGTCAGAATTTAGTACTGAGAAGTGTTGATATATTGTTGATTATGATACAATACAGATGTGTCATATATACATTTATTGTTTTGTTTGACAATGTATTTAAATTGAACTTGCTTTACCTAGGTCAGACAATGAGCTTGCCATATGGGGCAGGTTTAGATGGATATCCGACAGGTAGCCATATTGGAATGAGAACCAGTCATTCGTTTCATACAGAACATAGCTGGAACCAGTCAAATACAGGAAATGCTAGGCCACAGTCAGTACCAATGCCACCACCTAGTTCAAACACTTCTGATCCCAGATTAATATCCTTGTCACCGCCAGGGCAGTCATCTCAAGGTCATAGGTCGCAGGGGTCATTTTTTAGTGACCTTGAAGGATTGGACTTTACAGCAAGAAATTCAGATCCGGTTGAGACTAAACAAACTGATAGTAGTGGACCTAAAATATATCCAGACATAAGCTCAGCTTTTAGGTGAGTTTTTTTTTTCTAACTAATCTTGTCTGAAAGTAAAAACTATCTGCTATATACTTGTTGAGATTGTAGTTAAAGTTCGTCTTATTTAAAGACTTGAATTTTTGTATTTTGTTTAGAGTTGCACCATTTAAGATCATTGAAATTATAGATTTTCATGTAAGTCACACATGATATTATATGGGTACAAGTCTTCAGATGTGTATGATTACTTATGTATAACTCAGGTTTGCTTTTAACGCCTTTTTTTTGGGCTACGGTACCCTACTATTGTTGATGTTGGCATCAGTGGTTAAGGTGTCTGCCTCTTAACCCAGGTATCATAGGTTTTAGCCCTACTTGGGACATGACCATGTTTCCAACAAACCCAAAAGTGATTAAGATAATAAGTTGCAAGAACTTGTTTCGCAATCAAGCTTAAATAAATATGTTTAAACTAAAGCATTACATGTAATTTCTTGTATAGTTTTACATTCATCAACCACTTTCCACATGTTTTTGAGATTATTACTGAAAGTCACTGTCCAAGGCCTGTAACTCTAGTAAGGATCTTTGTAAATTTAGTAAAGTGCATTATCTTTCACTACAGTCATTTGAGACAACTGCTGGTACTTGCTAGAAATTTCATTCATATCATTAGGATTCAGCGATTATTTTTACTTATTTTATAGCCTATATTCGGTCATATTCCCAATTTGAAAAAAAAAGTGTTTTATTTTCCTACTTCACAGGAAAAAATTCCTAATTAAAAGTTGCAAAATAAAAATATTGAATAAAAAATTCTAAAATATTTGAAAATAAGGGCTTCTAAACTGTTATATAGAGGATATTTGTTTGTTTTGCATGTAAGATCGAAATATAATTTCACTGAGTGAACACCAGATGCAATATTTTCACGAGTGGCGTAGCCACGAGTGAAAATATAATAGCTGGTGTTCACGAATGAAATATATTTCAATCTTATATGTAAAACAAATAAATTTTCTTTTTATTTCATGCGTTTTAAGTGATTTTAAGTAATTTTTACTGATTTTGCCGCGTAACGTCGCGCATTCTCCTTTGTGACGTCATTATATCATGACGTCACATCATCAATTTTGAAATATAGTTCTGTTTTATTTCTCTAATTTTGTTACATTTTCAACATGATGTATAGTGACATCGACTTTCTTTTCCTAAAGAAGCAAAATTTACGCATGACGGCATTTATTTCTGCCTGTTATTCCATTTAGTTATGATTTTCTTTTCATCCGCATTCAGATATAGTCCGGCTACAGTGAAAATTATATTTTATAAATTTCACTAGTGGTTTATCAGAATATAATCATCTGATATATTACAATAAAACACTGGAAAGCATGAAATAAAGTGCTTAAATGTTTTAAGTGCTTAAATGTTTGAAGATGCCATCCTAGATGGTGTGGTTGTTTGCATTTATTTAATCACTTCAAAATTTCAGTCATGCATTTTTTCCTAATTTTTAACAAAACATCGTTGAAATTCCCAATTCCATTGGAATGAGTGATGTTCCCAAAATCCTTGATAAAAAAATCCTTGGAATTTGATAAAAGTCCACTCTCCAAGATCCATAACTCTTTCATGTATTTTGACTGAATTATGTCCCTTTGTGAATTGAAAAAATTCCTAGGTCACTTTTAACATATTAACCTTTCATGTCTTTTCAATAAAATTTGTCTGGCTGTTAATTCCTCCATGGCTCTTTTTATACTATTAATTTCTGAGAACAATTGAGCACAGTCCTTTATCATTATATTGTTATTGTTATTACAGAGAATTGAAGCAGACGCCTCAGGCAGGTTCAGAATGGAATAACAGAAATTTGCCAGTTTCAAATCGAAACTCTATGCCTTCCCCTTATGGCTGGGACCCGGCTTTATCACAAATGGCTGCGGGTGGTTTTACGACTGGTTCCACTTCTGTACCAACAACTCCAATACCTGGTCCTTATACACAACCAGGGGCTGGTAATTACATGGGCTACAACTTGGGGAACCAGTTTCCTGTCCAGAATCCTAATTTTTATGCCGGGTATTCTGGAAATATGTTTCCAACCAGTGCTGGCATAAGTACAGGTGCTGTAAACTCTGCCAGTTTGAATCGAAATATATCTGTCGGGACAAATGAGGAAAATGTTACGGACGGCTTTAATATGGTGCCAGACGCCGATTCTGATCCATGGTCTGAATCAGACTTCTTCAATCAAAATGACCAGCAAACTGCGGGGAGTGAAAAATCAGTAAAAACTCACAGGAGAAACAATAGTGATTTAATACAGTTAGGTTTTGAAGGTGTTTTGACTTCAGAGGAGAATGAGTACTTTTCTTTGGAATATTTCGATCCATTACACAAACGAGGGCGAACAATGTCAGTTTCTACACCGAGTTCACTAGCTTCTTCAAATTACTTTTTTGCCAAACCACCCGAAGAGACAGTCATTAGCACGGATCGAAATGATTGGGTAACTTTCGATGAATCAGATTTTGAGTTTGGTCGATCAGATAATACAGATTTACCAGACAAATTTGTTCAATCAAGGGCAGACGACTTTATGCCGTCTGCTGCAGAACAAGCATTGGATGAAAGCAAGGTACCTAGATTTATACAATATTTTTTCTTTTTTCAGGGCTTTTTATATTTTTTATTGCCAAAGAGTTGCTTCACTTCAGTTTTATCAGTTTGCTTTTAAGATTTCCCTTAAATTTTACTAAAAGTGTTATCAACACTATATCATCTCTCTCACTTTTTTCTAAAAAAAAAAAAACAACTCAGAATACGTCTTCTACTCTTCAAAAACTTCACTGATTGTCTTGAAATACTTATAAGGAGGTATAAGATATATAGTTGCCAATTTTTTTTACGGAAATAAAAATGTAGTCAACAATGAATGAATGAAATGAGCTACTTGAATTTTAACGCAAAAGGCAGTTGTTAAGCACAGTACCTAAGTTGTTACAATATTTTATATTTGCGTTTATTTGAAGGTTGGTCACGAGAAGTTGCGAAGGAAGTTGTATATAGATGAAGAGTCCGATGCCTTTTGTCAGATGGTTGCAGAGTAAGTACTTAGTTATATTTTATGCATAATTTTTAGCTTGAATATACAAGAATACATAGAGCTCTTGTATATATTTTTTAGGGTGGAAGAAGGAGTATAAATATATATAAAAATAGAAAATAAGTCCCGAAAAAAAAAGTCAAATATAATAAAATAAAAAACCACAGTCCATTATATATATATAATATATATATATCCGCGCAGTCTGATCAGGATCCATGCTGTTTGCTATCAGTTTCTCTACTTATAATAGGGTTTGTAAGCGAACAGCATGGATCCTGATCAGACAGCATGGATACGCAAGCTGGTCTGGACACATGCTGGTCGCAAACACACTATGTTGGTTTTTGTCATGGCGCGGCTCATTTATTTTTCTCTTTTAGGTTGAAGAAGGAGTATAAATCGACAGATGAGAGGACAAACCTTGGCTTTATAGTCAGTCCAATGTGCAATAAACAACAGGATCCCATGTCCGTGAAGATAGTCGTACATTCAGAATTTGCCACCGAGCCTTTCTCGTTTACGAGTGATGGTGAGAATTATAGTACAACCTCTGAAGAGCAACCACCCTTTGGGAGACAAAGATTTTGGTTGTTGTAAAGAGGTGGTTGTTCTACAGAGGTTAAATATAATGTGAAATTTTACTTTGGGGAAAAGATGATAATATTGTTGTAAAGAGGTGGTTGTTCTACAGAGGTTAAATATAATGTGAAGTGTTACTTTGGGGAAAAGATGATAATGTTGTTGTAAACTGGTGATTGCTCATCAGAGGTTAAATATAATGTGAAATTTCACTTTGGGAAAAAGATGATAATGTTGTTGTAAAGAGGTGGTTGCTTTACAGAGGTTAAATGTAATGTGAAGTTTCACTTTGGAGAAAAGTTACACAGTTGTTGTAAAGAGGTTAAATATAATGTGAAGTGTTACTTTGGGGATAAGATGAAAATGTTGTTGTAAAGAGGTGGTTGCTCTTCAGAGGTTAAATATAATGTGAAGTTTCACTTTTGGAAAAGATTATTGTTTTTCATCCCTGTGGGTTTGTATCATGCTGGAACCTAGAATTCCTTAAAGTTAGGAAATCAATATAGCTTCCTTACAGAATGTTGTTAGTTTTACTAATGTACTAGATTTATATGATTAAATAGTGTATGAAGAGGCATATATAATGTTAAAGCTTGTATTATTTTACTTTTTAATATATTTTCAAAATTTTCATGAAAATTAATATGAATCTGGAGATATGCTGCTTTAAATCTTATTTGACAATTACATGTAGCAGTTAGGAAATAATAAGTCTGAAATAACGCACAGAGGGGCATCTTAAGTAGAGCTCAGAAGTCACATTATGATCTATAACAATGTTGATGCGGCAAAAAAAAAAGAATAAGAAAAATAGCTTTTTTTTTTTTGTATTTCAGTACACAGTCTGGTAATAAAAATATCTTTGTTTTATTTTTGTATTTCAGTACACAATCTTCTAATAAAAATAGCTTTGTTTTATTTTTGTATTTCAGTACACAGTCTTCTAATAAAAATATCTTTGATTTATTTTTGTATTTCAGTACACAGTCTTCTAATAAAAATATCTTTGATTTATTTTTGTATTTCAGTACACAGTCTTCTAATAAAAATATCTTTGTTTTATTTTTGTATTTCAGTACACAATCTTCTAATAAAAATAGCTTTGTTTTATTTTTGTATTTCAGTACACAGTCTTCTAATAAAAATATCTTTGATTTATTTTTGTATTTCAGTACACAGTCTTCTAATAAAAATATCTTTGATTTATTTTTGTATTTCAGTACACAGTCTTCTAATAAAAATATCTTTGTTTTATTTTTGTATTTCAGTACACAATCTTCTAATAAAAATAGCTTTGTTTTATTTTTGTATTTCAGTACACAGTCTTCTAATAAAAATATCTTTGTTTTATTTTTGTATTTCAGTACACAATCTTCTAATAAAAATATCTTTGTTTTATTTTTGTATTTCAGTACACAATCTTCTAATAAAAATATCTTTGATTTATTTTTGTATTTCAGTACACAGTCTGGTAGAGCATATTATAAATCATGTACTGTACAGCCGCTTGACTGGTTCTATGCCAAGTCACATGATAGAGTCTCTAAAATCCGTGGATTTTATCCTCAAAGTCAACGATCGGTCGGAGTATCTCCTGAAGTAAGATTTTAACATTAACTGTTTTATCATTTTATCATTATTTTGATCATTTTCTTTCAGTTTTTGTAGAAGTATGCTTGAAATTTTAATGGGTAACTTTATGGAAATGATATTTATTTGTAATGTTGCATTTGAATGTAATGTGAACTATATTATTATTGCATAGAAAATTTATTGCATACAAAATTTCAGATTGTTATACAATCATGTATTTTTGAGTTGTGAATTATAATTATATAAATATGAAATGCCTATTGTATCTGTTAAGACAAAAACATTTTTTTTTTCTTGATACAGTTGCTGCAACAGTATTTCCTTTAGCCCTAACTATGCTAATTATCTTAAATAGACTTGGCAATCTTTCAGTGTGGACAAAACCATTCATCATTTTTAGGAAAAAAGTTTAAAATATGTAGTGACTGAATGGCGAAAAGTTTAGACCATGCTCTTGGTCTGCTCTTGTCGCATGGTTGAAATCTGTTGTTGCCAGAAGGCTAAGAGTTAACATAAGATATTTGTATATGTATATTCAGTGAGTTCCCGCTGTCCAAGTACAGCTACACACATGACAGTTTAAAGATGGATCAGGATTTGTGTTTTCGAATCATGAGACGCCAAGATGTTGCCTTGCCTTTTCTTAGAACAGTAAGTTTTTGACAGAATATTAATGCATTTAGACTGAAGGAGTTATCCTTGGCAAAAATTAGAATTATAAAAAAAGTAAAGTCAGTATTTGATTTATTTTTAGCTCGACTATTCGAAGAATATGAGAGCTATTGTAGTCGCCCCGGCGTCGGCGTCCGCGTCGGCGTCTGCGTTGGTTAAAGTTTTTTGTAAATTCAAATATCTCAATTATTGCTTGAGATATTCAATTGAAACTTACAATACTTATTTATAGTAACAATGTACATCAGATTGACAAGTTGGATAACTCTACCTACAATATTGACAGAATTATGCCCCTTTTTAACTTAGAAATTTTGGTTAAAGTTTTTTGTAAAGTCAAATATCTCAATTATTGCTTGAGATATTCAATTGAAACTTGCAATACTTATTTATAGTAACAATGTTCATCAGATTGACAAGTTGGATAACTCTGCCTACAATATTGACAGAATTATGCCCCTTTTTAACTTAGAAATTTTGGTAAAAGTTTTTTGTAAAGTCAAATATCTCAATTATTGCTTGAGATATTCAATTGAAACTTACAATACTTATTTATAGTAACAATGTACATGAGATTGACAAGTTGGATAACTCTACCTAGAATATTGACAGAATTATGCCCCTTTTAACTTAGAAATTTTGGTTAAAGGTTTTTGTTAAGTCAAATATCTCAATTATTGCTTGAGATTTTCAATTTAACCTTACAATACTTATTTATAGTAACAATGTTTATCAGTTTGCAAAATCGCATAACTTTGCCTGCAATATTTGCAGAATTATTTGTTTTGAAAGTTAGAAATTTTGTTTAAAGGTTAAAGGTCTTCAAAGATATTTACTTGAAACTTTACACATGTACTTAGGGTCATAATTGGAGGGTCATAATTGTTGTATGTCACTGACCAAGTTCCATAACTCTACTCGCATTAAGGCTGATTCATCTCCCCTTTTCTACTTAGTCTCTTGGTTTATGTTTACATGCAAGTTTTACATATCTCAATAGCTATTAAAGATATTTATTTAAAACTTCACATATGCATTAAGAATCATAATTGTAGGTCACTGACCAAGATCCATAATTCTATCTTGCATTTAGGCTGATTTTTCTCCCCTTTTTCAACTTATAAATTCCTGGTAAAGTTTTGCTTGTAAGCTGTTATGTCCATAACTACTGAAGAGTTTGTGCCTTTTTGGGACATTTTTATGCATTCATAATAATAAAGCAGTGATTTACTTGATAAAACATCTTAATAACAAGCCTAAAATTGTACCTTTTTCAGTCAATTTTATGTATTCATAGGTAATTAGCATTATTATACTCAATAAAACACCCTTGTGACAATTTTTGGATAGTCAGTATTGGCTTGACTATTCAAAAATTGTCACAAGGGTGAGTATAATAATGCTAATTACTGACTAAGAATTTACGTTCAAGTTGCATACCACCTCAGATATTTTCCTATTCCATTGACATCTCGCTTTGAAACAAGTTGAAATTTTATGCACTTCTTTGAGAGCATAATAGGACTCTCCCAAAGACCTATAGCCATAACATGGATTTAAAGAAAAATTTGGCCCTTTTGTTAATTTAGAAAATGTTACATTATCAAGGCTCTTTTAATATCAAACACTTAGAATAGTCGAGCATGCTGTCCTACCGACAGCTCTTGTATTGGTAACTACCTGTTAAGATAGTGCATTGGTTTTTTGTGTCCCCTTGAAAAAGGCGACATATAGGGGTTACTTTTGTCGGCGGCGTCGTTGTCGTCGGCGTTGTCGGCGTCCCCTAAAGCTTGTCCGGAGCATAAGTCAGTCATTATCAGTTGGATTGACTTCAAACTTGGTATGCATGCTTCTTATAATGACCCGAAGTGCAGTGCACAAGAACGGGTACTCTGCACTTCTTTTTTAGCTTGACTATTCGATAAGAAAAAGTAGAGCTATTGTAGTCACCCGAGCGTCGGCGTCGGCGTCTGCGTCGGTTAAAGTTTTTGTAATAGTTTAAATATTTTCAAAGTCCATTGACATATGGCTTTGAAACTTTGCACACTTGTTCACCATCATGACCCCAACCTGTAGACAGGAGGAGGTAACTCTATCAAGCATTTTGACAGAATTGTGCCCCTTTTTCGACTTAGAATTTACGTTAAAGTTTTTGTAATAGTTCAAATATTTTCAAAGTCCATTGACATATGGCTTTGAAACTTTGCACACTTGTTCACCATCATGACCCCAACCTGTAGACAGAGGAGGTAACTCTATCAAGCATTTTGACAGAATTATGCCCCTTTTTCGACTTAGAATTTACGTTAAAGTTTTTGTAATAGTTCAAATATTTTCAAAGTCCTTTGACATATGGCTTTGAAACTTTGCACACTTGTTCACCATCATGACCCCAACCTGTAAACAGGAGGTGATAACTGTATCAAGTATTTTTTTTACTATCAAGCACTAAGAATAGTCGAGCGTTGCTTGTTTTGAGTTATTGCCCTTTGTTAATTTTCGTACTTTATTTTTGTCCGGGCCATTTCTCTTCAACTATAAAAGCTATGGACTTGAAACTTCATAGGATGATAGATCTCATTAAGAAGAAGTGCAGTGCACAAGAACTGGTACTCTGCATTTCATATTTTTTGAGTTATTGCCCTTTGTTAATTTTCATACTTTATTTTTGTCCGGGCCATTTCTCCTAAAGTGTAAAAGCTATGGACATGAAACTTCATAGGATGATAAATCTCATTAAGAAGAAGTGCAGTGCACAAGAACTGGTACTCTGAATTTCTTATTTTTTGAGTTATTGCCCTTTGTTAATTTTTATACTTTATTTTTGTCCGGGCCATTTCTCCTAAAGTATAAAAGCTATGGACTTGAAACTTCAAAGGATGATAGATCTCATTAAGAAGAAGTGCAGTGCACAAGAACGGGTACTCTGCATTTCTTATTTTTTGAGTTATTGCCCTTTGTTAATTTTCATACTTTATTTTTGTCCGGGCCATTTCTCCTAAATTACAAAAGCTTTAGACTTGAAACTTAATAGGATGATAGATCTTATAGATAAGAAGTGCAGTGCACAGAGACTGCTTCTCTGCATTTCTTATTTTTAGCTCACCTGTCACAAAGTGACAGGGTGAGCTTTTGTGATCGCTTTTCGTCTGGCATCCGTCCGTAAACTTTTACTTTAAATTACATCTCCTCATAAACCACTAAGCCAATTTCATCCAAACTTCACAGGAATGTTCCTTTGGTGGTCACCTTTAAAAATTGTTCAAAGAATTTAATTCCATGCAGAACTCTGGTTGCCATGGCAACCGAAAGAAAAAACTTTAAATATCTTCTTTTAAAAAACCATAAGAGCTAGAGCTTAGATATTTGGCATGAAACATCTTCTAGTGAGTGTCTACCAAGTTTGTTCAAATAAAAGCCCTGGGGTCAAAATTGGCCCCGCCCTGGGGGGTCATTGATTTTCAATATATGCATATAGTAAAAACTTAAAAAATCTTCTTTTAAAGAACCCAAAGAGCTAGAGCTAAGATATTTCGCATGAAACATGTTCTAATGGGTGTCTACCAAGTTTGTTCAAATAAAAGCCCTGGGGTCAAAATTGGCCCGCCCCGGGGGGTCATTGATTTTCCCTATATGCATATAGTAAAAACTTAAAAAATCTTCTTTTAAAGAACTTAAAGAGCTATGGCTAAGATATTGAGCATCAAACATGTTCTAATGGGTGTCTACCAAGTTTGTTCAAATAAAAGCCCTGGGGTCAAAATTGGCCACGCCCAGGGGGTCATTGATTTTCCCTATATGCATATAGTAAAAACTTAAAAAATCTTCTTTTAAAGAACCAAAAGAGTTAGAGCTAAGATATTTAGCATGAAACATGTTCTAATAAGTGTCTATCAAGTTTGTTCAAATAAAAGCCCTGGGGTCAAAATTGGCCCCGCCCCGGGGGGTCATTGATTTTCCCTATATGCATATAGTAAAAACTTAAAAAATCTTCTTTTAAAGAACCAAAAGAGTTAGAGCTAAGATATTTCGCATGAAACATGTTCTAATGGGTGTCTACCAAGTTTGTTCAAATAAAAGCCCTGGGGTCAAAATTGGCCCCGCCCCGGGGGGTCATTGATTTTCCCTATATGCATATAGTAAAAACTTAAAAAATCTTCTTTTAAAGAACTTAAAGAGCTATGGCTAAGATATTGAGCATCAAACATGTTCTAATGGGTGTCTACCAAGTTTGTTCAAATAAAAGCCCTGGGGTCAAAATTGGCCACGCCCCGGGGGTCATTGATTTTCCCTATATGCATATAGTAAAAACTTAAAAAATCTTCTTTTAAAGAACCAAAAGAGTTAGAGCTAAGATATTTAGCATGAAACATGTTCTAATAAGTGTCTATCAAGTTTGTTCAAATAAAAGCCCTGGGGTCAAAATTGGCCCCGCCCCGGGGGGTCATTGATTTTCCCTATATGCATATAGTAAAAACTTAAAAAATCTTCTTTTAAAGAACCAAAAGAGTTAGAGCTAAGATATTTAGCATGAAACATGTTCTAATAAGTGTCTACCAAGTTTGTTCAAATAAAAGCCCTGGGGTCAAAATTGGCCCCGCCCTGGGGGTCATTGATTTTCCCAATATGCATATCGTAAAAACTTAAAAAATCTTCTTTTAAAGAACTCAAAGAGCTATGGCTAAGATATTTAGCATGAAACATGTTCTAATAAGTGTCTATCAAGTTTGTTCAAATAAAAGCCCTGGGGTCAAAATTGGCCCCGCCCCGGGGGGTCATTGATTTTCCCTATATGCATATAGTAAAAACTTAAAAAATCTTCTTTTAAAGAACCAAAAGAGTTAGAGCTAAGATATTTAGCATGAAACATGTTCTAATGGGTGTCTACCAAGTTTGTTCAAATAAAAGCCCTGGGGTCAAAATTGGCCCCGCCCCGGGGGGTCATTGATTTTCCCTATATGCATATAGTAAAAACTTAAAAAATCTTCTTTTAAAGAACTTAAAGAGCTATGGCTAAGATATTGAGCATCAAACATGTTCTAATGGGTGTCTACCAAGTTTGTTCAAATAAAAGCCCTGGGGTCAAAATTGGCCACGCCCCGGGGGTCATTGATTTTCCCTATATGCATATAGTAAAAACTTAAAAAAAAATCTTTTAAAGAACCAAAAGAGTTAGAGCTAAGATATTTAGCATGAAACATGTTCTAATAAGTGTCTACCAAGTTTGTTCAAATAAAAGCCCTGGGGTCAAAATTGGCCCCGCCCCGGGGGGTCATTGATTTTCCCTATATGCATATAGTAAAAACTTAAAAAATCTTCTTTTAAAGAACCAAAAGAGTTAGAGCTAAGATATTTAGCATGAAACATGTTCTAATAAGTGTCTACCAAGTTTGTTCAAATAAAAGCCCTGGGGTCAAAATTGGCCCCGCCCCGGGGGGTCATTGATTTTCCCTATATGCATATAGTAAAAACTTAAAAAATCTTCTTTTAAAGAACTCAAAGAGCTATGGCTAAGATATTTAGCATCAAACATGTTCTAATAGGTGTCTACCAAGTTTGTTCAAATAAAAGCCCTGGGGTCAAAATTGGCACCGCCCCGGGGGTCATTGATTTTCCTTATATGTGTATAGCAAAAACTTAAAAAATCTTCTTTGAGAAAACCCAAATAGCTAGAGTTAAGATATTAAGCATGAAACATCTTTTAGTGAGTGTCTACAAAGTTTGTTCAAATAAAAGACCTGGGGTCAAAATTGGCCCCGCCCCGGGGGTCATTGATTTTCTTTATATGTGTATAGCAAAAACTTAAAATCTTCTTTGAAAAAATCCAAATAGCTAGAGTTTAGATATTAAGCATGAAACATCTTCTAGTAAGTGTCTACAAAGTTTGTTCAAATAAAAGCCCTGGGGTCAAAATTGGCCCGGCCCCAGGGGTGTCATTGTTTTTAACTATATGTGTATAGTAAAAACTTAAAAAAAATCTTCTTTTAAAAAGCCCAATGAGCTAGAGCTTAGATGTTTAGCATGAAACATCTTCTTATGGGTGTCTACCAAGTTTGTGCAAATAAAAGCCCTTGGGTTAAATTGGCCCTCCAACGTTGGGGGGGGTGGGGTGGGGGTTGGGGGGGCCTATATACAGGTGAGCGACCTCAGGGCCATCATGGCCCTCTTGTTTGAGTTATTGCCCTTTGTTGATTTTCAAATTTCATTTTTGTCGTGGCCATTTCTCCTAAACTATATTGTTCACAAGGCGACACATCCGACTCGCGGAGTTCTAGTTGACAGTATTTGTGGTTCTGTCCATAGATCATAACTTATTCGATGGACAACTAGAGACACTTTAACCTACATTCCTGTGATTCAATGCAGAGGTTTGTTTCGACCTATGAATGGCCATTATTGAAGTCAAGGTCAATTGATCAAAGGTCAAGGTCATCATGGCCTAAAGCAAAGAAATCTTGTGCAACCAATTACTTTGTGAAGTGAACGCTTTGGTCTGAATTTGTCGATTTGGTGTTGTGGTAACTGTTAGGTAATGAGTAGATGATGACTCCTTTTGACAGGAGTTAGTTAATGAAAGGTCAAGGGTCACCACACCTGCAAATTGGCTGATTGGCTATCGAATTGCTGTACTGGGATGATAATACATGGCAACCTGCTTCCCTGGATAACTAACTAGTAATTGCCTATTTCTTCTCAAGTGAATGACTACTTATCACACATTATCAGCACATAAGACACAATGTCTGTATCAAATGTCACAGAGATATCTCGCATCGCCTGAGGATTAAACCACAAACCCCTGTATTACAAACTCAATGCTCTGCTATTGAGGTAATCTTGCTAATTAATGGCCCCACAACTCACTTAAATAATGTTTCAGCTTTCATTACTACAGTCAAACCTGATTTAAAGACCACTTCAGAATAAAGACCACCCTGTAAATTAAGACCACTCTTTAACAAACCAATACAATAGAGTAAAACCTGAATAAAGCCCACTTGTCTATAAAGGCCATGTATGGTCTTTTCCTTAGGTGGCCTTTATTCACAAGTTTGACTGTATCTTGCTGAAATGCATGTATATTAAATTACTATAGTAAAGATTGAAGATTGTCACATGACCTGGAGAATGTTTGTAGGCCTTGTGACCAATGTTTTGTAGTAAGTTACTATTGTGTTGTGGAACTTGTATTTTGTTGGCATTTTAGGTTGATGATGACAATCAGCAGTTGTATTTCCCACAGGACCATGTTAAAGATACAGAGGTTACAAGGTATGCTCATAAAAATGAGTTTTAGTATGACTATGTTACTACGTACTACAGCTAGTGTATTCATGTAATTATTGTGAAGGTTTAAAGGGACTCCACTGAGGTTTTTTTTGACATGATAAGAATAAGGCTAAGAATTTTGCACAAAAAATTGATTTTCAATTGAATTTTTAATATATTTCTATATTGTTTTTCATAGACTTTACCATTTCAGGTGCTTCATTTAATGCAATGTAAGAATTTCCAATTTTATGTTATTATTCTTTTTATCTCAGTTGAGCTCCTTTAAGAGTACATATATATTTCTTATTAACCATTGAAAGTATTCAAATTAATCTGCAAATTTATCTAGAGGGGTCATAATGCAATGTCATGGATCATGACCAATAACTTTATCATGGCATTTGAAAGAGTTATTGCCCCTTTTAAACTTAGAATATTCCTACATGTCATTTTAATAACAAGCCCTGTTAAATGAATGACCTTACAAGTATTCACTGCTAATTCCAAGACTTGTAGTCAGGCCTTGCTTTCAGTAATAGGCTATAAACAGGACATGAGAATTCCCAATTTTTTCTCATTTTATTTCTAATTTTACTTTTTTTTACAGAGATTCTTTAGAAATTCTGATGGACATATTTTACAAGGAAGTGGAAAAAGTTTCAGACCTTGTTTTAAAGGTAAGATTTACTTGCAAGACTGTAATTACACTGAAAATTCAGCGTAATTAGTTTTGATTGATTACATGGCAGTTTTTTATGCAGTTTACTGACAGAAAAATGAAAGAAATATGCACTTGCAAATATAGAGAGTTGAGTTTTATTTGCAAATGGTGCTTGTTTTGAGTGTATGAGATATACTTCAGAGTTCAAAATTTTGCTTTCTGTGCTAAAACTGTACAATGTACATTGTATAAAGTCACATTTTTACCACCTTTACTTTTAAAATGATCTCCGTGTCATCATGGCCGAGTGGTTAACACATCGGACAAGTAATCTAAGGATTGCTGACTGTGTTGGTTCAAACCGTGTCAGGGGCAAGCTGTTGTTTCCTTGAGCAAGAAACTTAACATTCATTGCTTTGTACTAAAAGATTGGTTTCAGGAACAGATTCAAGAGTGTTTCAATAAGCTTATAGCTTCAAACACAAACTAAAATATATTCTTATATACTAAAATTATCTCATATATGGGTTACTCTTAGTGCTTACCCTGTTTTCCCATTTTTAGCTCGACTATTCGATAAGAATAAGTAGAGCTATTGTAATACCCCGAGTGTCGGCGTCCGCGTCGGCGTCCGCGTAACCACTTATGTTAAAGTTTTTGTAATAGTTCAAATATTTTCAAAGTCCATTGACATATGGCTTTGAAACTTTGCACACTTGTTCACCATCATGACCCCAACCTGTAGACAAGAGGAGGTAACTCTATCAAGCATTTTGACAGAATTATGCCCCTTTTTGGACTTAGAATTTACGTTAAAGTTTTTGTAATAGTTCAAATATTTTCAAAGTCCATTGACATCTGGCTTTGAAACTTTGCACACTTGTTCACCATCATGACCCCAACCTGTAGACAGGAGGAGGTAACTCTATCAAGCATTTTGACAGAATTATGCCCCTTTTTGGACCCCAACCTGTAAACAGGAGGAGGTAACTATATCAAGCATTTTTTTTTACTATCAAGCACTAAGAATAGTCGAGCGTTGCTGTCCTACTGACAGCTCTTGTTGTGTTATCCCTGGTGTTGATGTGCATGTCATGGTTTATGTGCTCATGCTTGTGTTATGTCTCACTCCATGTGTAATGTATAATCATTATTGTACATTATGCCAAAATAAATCTCTCTCTATGTGGAATCTCATTATGATTTGTTAATACAATACAAATACAGTATAGCTCTAATGTAATGGGGCTATCATACTAACCCTGGCATTTGGCTTAAGTGTTGAAATAGTAATTGAAGAAAAGGTTTGGTGTGAAACCCTGTCAAAAATTCTGCTCGCCCATATGGTCTCTTTCCGGTGGCGAGAGTATACAAACCCAAACGCACACACACACACACACACACACACACATAAAAAATTATACACTTGTTTTCAGAACCATATGTGTAGGTTATTGTACATGACCTGTAACAAGTCTTGATTTTAACTCATTCATTTCCTAGTATGAAGATGAAAATTTCTTACATGGGTCATGTTTTGATATGAAGATGAGAGTAAATGAATATTCTTTCCTTGTGACAATGCTTGCTGTATTTTAGACCAAATATTTTGTTTAAATGTAACAGGATGAAGTCCAGAATGTACAGTTCCAGTCATTGTCACAGTCGGTAAAGGCAATATGTAACATCCTGTCGAAGATCGAGACCATTGATATAGCCAAGTGTCTGAGCCGCGTGGAGAGCTTATTGAAACAAATGAAAAGTTCAATACCCGCTAAATCATCTACACTAGAGCATAATGATGGTGGATATGCAACTCTTCAAAGAGGGAGGTATGAAAGAAGGGAACTGAAAATTGACTTCCTGTGTTTATTATAGTCTTTTTATAGTGGAAAATTGGCCTTATTTTGCTTCTTTTACATAATACAAATTTAAAATAAACATTGAGGGCCCGGAATAATGAAAAATGTCATACCATTACTATTTATATATGGATAAAAATTTGAAAGTTGACTATTTTGTAAGGAAATGTTTTATTTTGTTTACAAATATAATTCATGTGCTTTAAATACCTAAGTCACTTTTTTACCAAAACTCGTAAGTATGACTATAAGAATATGAAAACAATGTGATTGTACATTTCTTGAAAATTTCATATTATTATTTGTATTATGCCAGTTTATTTCTATGCCCTTTAACCCTTTCCCCCATGAGCATATTGTGAAAAATGGCCATTTTCACTGAAAAGCCTTCTCTTACAAGTTCAAACTGCTATGAAACTATGAAAAATGCTTCAATACTAATCAAACTTGGCACAAATGTTGACTGGACCATTGCCTTTGTAACGACATGCTCAGTCTTAAATTTCCTGTTACCATGGCAACGAGGGGGCATCTCAAAATTGCCAAAAATCACTTTTTTGCCTCGATTTTTTCCATCAAAATTTACTTCAAAGTGCTGCAACTTCTCAAGGGATTGAGATAGAGTCAAAGGCTTTTCAGTGTTGGTTACACGTTACCTTATGATCAACCTGGGGTCATTTTAAGCCTCTCACAAGTCCAAAATTTTCTTGGCAACCCCCTGATGTATTATTTGGATGGGGGATGGCGCCGAAAAAATGGTCACTTTTTTTAACAACATTTCTCAAACGAAAAACAGTGTTTGGGGTCTAAATAGGACATTTTTTCACTGTTTGAAGCCTCCAAAAGGGGGGGGGGGGGGCAAAAAGCCGTCGAAACACGCTTATATAAGGGAAAAGGTTAAAGGAACTCCACTGAGGTTCAAAAGAATAAAAACATAACATTGGAATTTTTACATATAACAAGTATGACACTTTAAAACAGAACGATATGCATAAGATTATATAAGAAATATATTGATACTTGTATTTTTGTGCTATTTATAGCCCGATTTGAGTGAAAAGCATTGCAATGCTTTCAAATATGGACCATTTTTCCGATAAGAATTATTACTCTTGCAAAACAGAGTAAGTGAATGATCTGAAACTTTGCACAAAAGTTATTTGTCAAAACTTACATCAAACTGAACATAAATCCTGAAAAATTATTTAATTAGTTCCCTCATGTCAATAAAACCTCAGTGGAGTCCCTTTAAAGTCTCGCCAAAACTGTGATACACTTGCGGCTTTATATCAATGATGTTATTTTTTTTTTTGACAGCATGAAACTGTCACATATCCCGCAGTTAGAGGAAGCTCTGGAATCATTGATTAAGTCAACAATTGCTCTTGTCAGAATTTATTGTCAAGCTTTCCACACTGACTTCCACCTTGGCAAGAAAATAGATCAACCATGGGGTAAGTATTGTATTATTTTTTTAAAAGGTTCTTTCGTTGATTTCATACGTTTATTGCTATGGTGAAGGGTTGTTTGATAACTTGTTTTTTATGGAACTTTAGTCACCTTGATATCAGTAAGACTAAATTATATCTATATTTAGTGATCTCATATAATTATGAACTATATTTAGTGATCTCATCTAAGAACTATATTTAGTGATCTCATATATGAACTATATTTAGGGATCTCATATATGAACTATATTTAGTGATCTCATATATGAACTATATTTAGTGATCTCATCGAAGAACTATAGTGATCCCATCTGAGAAGAAATGCATCAGAATAATAAGATTTGAATAGTAATCCCATATAGGAAGAATACAATAGAATAAAAATGTTTGATGGAATTTAAATTTTGGAATTGGTCAGTTTTCAATTACATATAATAATATATCAAAATGTAAATCATTACTTATCAAAATGTAAATTTTCATTTGATAGCAATTCAGTTTTCCAAAGTCAAATTAATTAAAATTTATGTACAAATGTGTGATTTATTTCAAACTAGCCTTTCAAGAATGAGGTATAAGGGAAGACACTGGTTGCTGCATTCCCATTGGTCAATTTCAAATTTCATTGCAAAATTAGCCAATCAATAACAAGTATTCATCAGAAAAGCATTTAAATTTGACTTGATATTTTTTTGTATTTGTTTCAGACAATAAAAAGGATGGGAGAATTTATAAGTGTAATTACATGTTTTTATATTGTCACCAGATACCACTATTATGACTGTACTATTGTAAAACTTGAAAATCGTTGATATTGTCACCGTAGTGCAGTAACAGGTTAACTCCTAATATAATTTAATAGGTGATAAACCGTTAATGCACTAAGGTGATGATAATATTTGTTCTTTCGCTTAAACTTTTCTATTGTTTCTTTTCAAAAGAGTTTTTTCCCCTACTTTTTTTTTTGGAAAATATATTTTCAAGTTCTTGCCATATTTTAGTGAAAACTTACAATTTTAAATCTAAAATTGCCTGTGAGTTAGTTATATTGTGTTTTAGTTAATGATTCAATTTCTGTCTCAGTCGACAATACATCCTGTTTTATTTTACAATGCAGTCATTTTTGTGATATCTCAAAAGACCAATTTTATATTGTATAATTATATTGACTCTTTTTAAAAGCTGGAACATTTTATCATGCATTGTTTAATGTTGTTTTATAACTTTTAAAGGAGCTCCACTGAGGTTAAAAAAGCTTAATAACATGAAGTTTACAATTCTTATATAGATCAAGTCAAACATTTAAAATGGAAAAATCTGCAAAGAAAAGTAAAAAACAATACTTAGAATTACATTGCAAATTGATTTTTTGACGATTCTTAGCCCAATTTGAGTGAAAAGCGTTGGGTCATTTTGCACAATGTAAATGAATGCTCTGGAAAGTCAGGATGAGGGAATGATCTGAAACTTTGTATACAAGATTTTGGCCAAGACCTACATCAAATGGTACACAAGTCTTGGAAAAATATTTCTAGTCCAATCATGTCAAAAACCTCAGTGGAGTCCCTTTAAAAGTATCACAGCATTTGAAATTAATTTTAAACAGTATTTTTTCTGCATTTTGTATATATTTTATTAGCAAGAGGAACATGTAAGGAAATTATCCAGCAAGATTATAGGAGCTTGATGGTTCTGCTAAAGTGTTGGCACATGCCTGAATTAATGCTCAGAGGGGCACCTGAGGTCTTCCTCAACTATTAGATTTATACATGAAAGTTGTAGTAGGACCTTCAAGGTGTCTATGCGACTTAAAACCACAACTTATTATAAACGAAAAATTGAAAAATAAAATCTTTAGATTCGTCTTAAAAAAAAAAGCTTTTCAAGGAGTCAGTATAATTGCATAATTTTTCCACCCTTTTTTCACGAAAAAAATATATGTATTGCTAGGCCACGGAATGAAACACTTGTTTTCTGCTCATTTTGAATGTTTTTTTTTAAAAACATGTCTGTTTTCTGTGCTTTATTTTTTAATTTTTGTTTATATTGAATATAATTATTAGAATGTGGAACTTTTCAGTTGAATGTTTTCTTTTCTGTTCATTAGTATGGGAATGTAAAATAATTATTATACTTTATAAGATGGCTAATGGTAATCATATTGTTTGTCTGTCAGTCTGTCCATATTTCTGGCAAAATGTTTACTTCTGGAGGTCATAACTCAAAACCCTGGGGTACATGTTTCAATGAAACTTTATTGGGAGAAAAAGGTGTTTGTACACTCAGTTTGTCTGTCCATGAGAAAATATTTTCATCAAAAGTTTATTACTGATTTGGATCTATAAAAATTTCTAGTTTTCACTATTTTAATGAAATTTTACAGGAATTCAGGTGCCAACACAAAGTATGCATTTTAAGGCAGTTATCAGATGTTGAGTTGTGGCCCTTGTATATAAATTATAGTACAATTCAGGGGCAAATAATTATTTTATTGGCAGCATTTATCTAGTATGCAATATTTATAGGTACATGTATGCAGAATGTGCATGTTTAGAGATAAGATAAATAGAATAGAGTGAAATATATTTTTACTTTTTAAAATGATTTTGATTGTTTTGTAAATTAAAAAAACATTTTTAATGAAACTAATGTTTAAGATAAGAAAAAAATTTGTTTCAGATGTAAACAAGAGTGTGTCCATTCAAATTTCAAATATCTGACAAAAATATATTTGTTAAGTTAATTTCATTTAAATTAAAATGCATTCCTTAAAACAAAGGGTGCAAGTTTCCTAAGTAATGCCAGAATTCCTCATGGTTCCCTGTGCCCACTACCCACACTCTCTACATTTTAAGGTTTTTCCCTAATTTTACAACTTGCACCCATGTAATATTCATATTTACTTAGGCATTACCTCTAACCCAGTGGCTCCCTAACACTGAAAGTAAATAAATATTTTGTATTGATTATTTCAAAAGTTGAGAATTATCCATTGAGACTTGTTTCCCAGTAATTTTCAGCCAATCGTTATGTATGAATATGTAATCTTAATATAGTTATGTTGAATATTTTAGTGAAAAAGTTTGAATTAAGTCACTCAAATTTCTCTTGTAAGTTTTTTTATTAGAGATATGCTGAAACTTATTGTCTTTTAATCTATTTTAGCTATTTTAGTTTGTTTTATTTGAAATGGTTGTGTCGAACCATATGTCAATTTCAAAGAAAAGGGGGAGCTATTGCACTCACCTTGGTGTCTGCATCGGCTTTGTCGTCACACTTTGGTTAAGTTTTTGTGTGCAAGTTGGTATCTCCATAACTACTGAAGGGAATGGATTGAAACTTCACTCATCGCTTGAGAGCATAATAAATACACAGTCCACTGTTAAATGGATTTTGACAGAATTATGGCCCTTTTTGAACGCAAAAAATTCTACACCTAGAAAATTCTACATTATCCAGGCTTTTGTTTTACTATCAAGCTCTGAGTATAGTCGAGCACTCTGTCCTTTGGACAGGTTGCTTTTTTGCAAATGAAAAAATATTTCCATAATGATTATGAAAACAAAAAGACCCCCCCCCCCCCTCAACCGAAAAAAAAAAAATTAAAGCAAAAGTCTGGTATTGATATACATGTATATAGTAATCTGCGAGATAACTAAGTATATGTACATGCATATTTTTTTTAATTTCTTGGACTTTCATGTAAGATGTCCTTGTAAAACAAAATTAGTCTATTTTTTGTCTATTTTCACATGAGCTAATGAATATCTGTAGGATACCACATTATGACAATTATTTCTATTTATAGTCAGGAGAAGATTTGGTAAGGTACATTTTAAACATTGCATCAAAGTATTGCTTTGTGAACAAAAAACAAAATAAATGTGGATTGTAATACACTAATTTCCATGTACATCAAAATATATCCTCTTGTTCTATCAAATACTTTGTCTTATGCTGTATCAAGCTAAAAAGTCTTTAACCAACTTGTTCATACTGCAAACCATTCATCTTGGTTTTTGATAATTTAAAATATATGAGCCGCGTCATGACAAAACCAACATAATGGGTTTGCGGCCAGCATGGATCCAGACCAGCCTGCGCATCCGCGCAGTCTGATCAGAATCCATGCTGTTCGCTTACAAACCCTATAACAAATAGAGAAACTGATAGCGAACAGCATGGATCCTGATCAGACTGCGTGGATGCGCAGGCTGGTCTGGATCCATGCTGGTCGCAAACGCAGTATGTTGGTTTTGTCATGACGCGGCTCATTATTCTGACTACAAGCAAACAGTGCAGACCATGATCAAATTGCCAAGATGAGCTGACTGATCTTGGTCAGGGATAAGCTAGAAGAATAAGGGATAAACTTAAAACTGATGTGATGTAATGTCTAATCTAGTATTAACTTTGGCAGTTGGTTTGTCAGGGTCTTCATGGTCTGGTCTGAAAAATTCTACTTCTCTTTAAAGTTGCTTGTCTCGTGTATTGTAAATTTGTCCTTTTGAAAACTGACATTTCTTGATCTCAGTATATATATGTGATAACTAAATATTTCTGTAAGCTGTTTAATGTATTGTACTACCTCTGCAGAACAGCCAGTGATCTCTACAGTGTGGCCCTTTGTAGAGCAACTACCTTTTACAACAATATTTGTCAATTTTTCTCAGAGTAAGACTTCACAATAGATTTGATCTCTTTAGAACAATATTTCAAAGTAACATCCAAAATATTTTTCTCTCACTGGGTGTTTTTGCTGCACAGGTTGTACTGTATCTATACATTATGACAGTTGTATACATTCTTTGTTAAAGACTTGGACTGAGGAAAGGGAGCTACAATTGACTTGCGAAAAGTTCAGAGTTACATGTAGAAGAAAGTTTTATTTTTGCTCCTCTTTTAATGCAAATAATAAGTGAAGAAGTTGACAGTTTGATGTAGAGAAACGGGTTATTACTGGAACAAACCTTAAGACTCTCCTCAGGCTACTCCTTACTTGTATTATTATGCTGAAATTCTTTCAAAAGATAAGCTCTAAACTTCAGCATGACCATATGCTAATATTGTTCAATCTTAATATTGAGTATTCTTTTAAAAAATGCATACATGATTTTTGCAGCAGATATATTGTATAAGAATCTTACACTGACTGTCGCTAGAGACCAGAATATCTAGCTTGAGGGTAGCTGTTTACGGGGGTGACGAGGCTCTGCCGATTTTACTGCTAAACAGTTACCCGAGAGCTAGATATTCCCGTCCATAACAACAGCCGGTGTTTGATACTTTTTATTGCATGTAACATATCAATTATTTTCAGAACAGGCATTACGAAAACTGATATTCCCATTAGGCACATTTTTATGCCACCGCAGCATCTGCGATGCGGTGGCATATAGCGATTCACCTGTGTGTATGTGTGTGTGTGTGTTTGTGTGTGTGTTTATATATAGATTATATAGTGAACTTAAAAAAAATCTTCTTGTGAAAAACCACTAGTCCAATTTCAACCAAACTTGGCAGGATTGTTCCTTGGGTGAAGGGCTTCCAAAGTTGTTCAAAGAATTTCATTCCATGCAGAAATCTGGTTGCCATGGCAACCAAAAGGAATTATAAGAATAAATTAAAAAATCTTCTTGTAAAGACCCAAAAGGCCTAGAGCTTAAATATTTTGCATAAGGCATTGCCTGGTAGACCTCTAACAAGGTTGTTCAAATTATAGCCCTGGGGTCAAAATTGGCCCCGCCCCGGGGGTCATTGATTTTCACTATGTACATATAGTAAAAACTTAAAATACCTTCTTGTAAAAACCCAAAAGGCCAAGAGCTTAGATATTTTGCATAAGGCATCATCTGGTAGACCCTTACCAAGATTGTTCAAATTATAGCCCTGGGGTCAAAATCGGCCCGCCCCAGGGGTCATTGGTTTTCCTTATATGTATATAGTAAAAACTTAAAAAAAATTCTTCTAGCAATTGACAAATGCTAAAGGTTAGATATTTTGCATGAAACATTGTGTTGTAAAACTCTAGCAAGATTGTTCAAATTATAGCCCTGGGGTCAAAATTGTCCCCGCCCTGGGGGTCATTGATTTCAATATATACATATAGTAAAAAATCAAAAAATCTTATTGTCTGAAGGTACAAGGCTTAGAGCTTTAATATTTGTTAAATAATATCATCTAAAGGTACTCTACCAAAGTTGTTCAAATTTTGCCTCTTGTGTCAAAATTAACCCCGCCCCTGGGAGCCTTAGGTTTATCCTATATGTATATAGTTAAAACTTAAAAAATCATCTTCTCTAAATTTACAAAGGATAAAGTTAAAATATTTTGCATGAAACATTGTGTAGTGAACCTCTAGCAAGATTGTTCAAATTATAGCCCTGGGGTCAAAATTGGTTCCGCCCCGGGGGTCATTGATTTTCATTATGTACATATAGTGAAAAAAAAAAATTTTGTCTGAAGGTTCAAGGCATAGAGCTTTGATGTTTGATATATAATATCATCTATAGGTCCTCTACCAAAGTTGTTCAAATGTCAAAAATTGGCCCTGCCCGGGGGCAGTGATTCTCATTATGTACACGTAGTAAAAACAGAAAATAAAACAAATGTTTTCTGAATTGGAGATAGCTATAGCTTAGATATTTGACTTGAAATGTTGTTTGGTGGACCTGTAACAAGATTGTTATTAAACCCTTGGGTCAAAATTATGCCTTGCCCAAGGGGACAGTGACCTACTTTCTTGTCCTATGATGTACAGCAATGACATTTTGACCATGTGCACAGTTTTAGTTGTAAAATTGAACTTTGACCTAGATTTTGATGATGTGACCTACTTTCTTGTCCTTTGATGTACAGCTATGGAATTTGAACCATGCGGTGGCATAGCATTTTTCTCAAATGCAATCTTGTTCTTATAGTAGCGTATAAACTTACAACTTCATTCATAACTTTAAAATGACGTCATCCTAAGAACACAATTCATTCATAAATGGTGCGCGGCCATGACATCATTTAATGGGGGGTGTAAGACAGGGTTTTCTAGCACTGGTGTAAACTGTAGATAATATTGTCTGATATGCAAGAAATTTATGTTATCAACAGGAGCCATAATTTCAATAAACCAATACGATAAATTGTAATAGCATTGGAAGAAACCCTGAAAACATATTATCAACTTTGACATGAATGAATGGTTTATGCAAGACCCCTGTAGACATTCTGTAATAGTTTTTGCCTCATAATGTTTGACCAAAGTCTGAAAAACTACAAATCTCGTAACAGAGCAAGTTGATGAACAAAATGAAAAAAAACACAACAATTTTACTTTTTACCTACATTTAGAAGTAATTTCTCCTACATGTATTTATCAAGCTGCAAATATACCTCCTATCTGTTGTATCAATAAATTATAATTCAGTTTTTCTCTAGGAAGTACTATAAAGTTTTATTGTAATCTTTGATTTACAAAGTTGACAATTAGCCCACTGAATGCAGTATTATCATAATCATTATACTCATTCAATTTGAAAAGATTTTTTTAACAGTCATATGAAATAAAATTAAATATATAAAGGTTTTTTTTTGTCTTGTGCCAAATTTTGAATATTCTTATGATATAACCAGATGAATAATCCAGATATCTGTATAACAGATTTGTATATCTTGATAACAGATTTGGATATCTGGATAACTAATTTGGATATCTGGATGACAGATTTGTTTATCTTGGTAACAAATTTGGGTATCTGGATAACAGATTTGGATATCTTTATAACAGATTTGCATATCTGGATAACAAATTTGGATGATAGATTTAGATAGCTCAATGACAGATTTGGCTCAGTATGATATCGTTAGTTTTATGCCTTCAGATCCACAAGATGTGACTGGTTCTGGTGAAAATTTCATTGTTCAGATCTGTACAGTGCATAGAATACCTCCTGACTGGGGTAGTAGGTACGTATGTTTAATGTTTTGTTTCTAATTTCATGGTTAAAGCTCATGAGAAGTTTGGGATATTTTAATCTTAAATTAAGCCCAGTTGAGGTTAAAATTGACTTGTAAAACATTGATTTTGAAAAAAAAAATGTTTTCTGTAAGAAATAGTATTGTTGCTTCAGTGACATCATGGTAATGCTAAATGGTTTGCCTTTGCAGTAAGTAGTAGGAACTTATGAATTATTTCTCAGTTGGCTATTCTATTAGTAAATTAATAGAATGTAAAATTTTGCATAAATTTAGTTTCATATTTCAGCTTGATTGTGTAGGAAGCTTAAAGACACATTCTCGCACCAGTTAGTACTTGGCTATGAGTGAAAAGTTTCTTGCCCATGGAAACAACGAGTTGTCCCTGACTGGGTTTGAACCCAATGGCCAGCAATCCTTAGATTACTTGTTTGAGGCGTTAATCACTCAACCATGCCCCCCACTATAATTTAAAGACTAAAATTATGTTATTTTATAACTATTGTTAAAGTATAAAATGGAAACAGAGCTATATCATGTTAACCACATGGCCATGCTGCCACTATAAGTTTGAGACTAAAATTATGTTATTTTAAAACCATTGTTTACTTTCAGATTTGACGAGTATAAAATGGAAACAGAACTATATCATGGGAAGAGAAAGCTAGGTGTTATGTCATGTTCTACATGTGCCTCTGTTCATACCTCTGGTCTTGTTCCCGTCATAGTGTGGGATGAATGGTAAGTGCCCAGTTCTGGTTCCCGTCATCGTGTGGGATGAATGGTAAGTGCCCAATTCTGGTTCCCGTCATAGTGTGGGATAAATGGTAAGTACCCAATTCTGGTTCCCATCATAGTGTGGGGTGAATGGTAAGTGCCCAATTCTGGTTCCCGTCATAGTGTGGGATGAATGGTAAGTGCCCAATTCTGGTTCCCGTCATAGTGTGGGATGAATGGTAAGTGCCCAATTCTGGTTCCCGTCATAGTGTGGGGTGAATGGTAAGTGCCCAATTCATATCATCATTAACCATTTAACCAAATATAAATAATTATAACAATGTACATATAAACTTTTGACGGTCCTTTTACAAAAATAGTAACAGTAGTCCTGGTTTGATGAACAAGATGGCTGCCGATGCAGATTATAAAAACACATTTTTTAAATGGCATAATGGCATCTCTGTCACTGTTGAACAGGTTTTTAATGACACTACAACATTGTTTATTTGTATTTACTCACAAGAAGTCTTCTTCTCAAGGTTTTTAAGTCAAATTGTTATAAAAATAAAAAGAAATAATCTTGTATCATTGTTGGTTTACGAAGATGAAAGGTTTTGTTTTGTTACGGGTGAAAGATCATGACCTTTTTGCAGGTTAACACATGATGTACAACTGTGCTTGTTGCCAAGGGAAACTAGACTGTGTATAACTCTAGTTGGAGTGAAAAACCTCCAGACTGGTTCAGGAAGTGGTACTGCAGGAGAATCTCAGAAAGAGACCACAGCACTGGGTGGGGTAACCATTCAACTCTTCAACAGAAGAGGGTAAGTGTGTCTTATTAGCTAAATATTGGAAATCATTTCATTGAGGATATAGATAAAGGAAAGTTGAGTGATTGTATGATCAATGCTAATAAATATGATCAGTGCTAATTAATTTGATTATCATTGAACAAATTATAGTTTTGAATTATATTATGTGATCCTTTGTCTCTAACAATATGTCGTCACTTATGCATCTACACGAGTATAATATTCTGTCTATCACATATTTAAATCAAGAACTGTTTTTGTCAGGTCCCATTGATAATTACATCTATATACATATGTGATTAAAAATGAGGTATTTCTTGCATATAATTTCAGGTATTTGTTACAAGGCAGCCAACTAGTGCCCCTACAGATGAATTTTGCTGCAGATCCTATAACCCCATTTTGTTCTACATTACAGCCGGACTCGGCACTTTTACAGGTATGTAAGAGAACAGAAGATTTTTCATAAGTTTTGTAACACTGATTTTAATTGGTTAATCAGGATGTTTATCTATTCTATATACACATCTTCTGTATATTTATTAAGTACTTTTCACATTTCCTGAAATAAAGGAATTGTGTTGTATTATAAATTTGTTATTAAGATTTTTGATAGATTATGTGACCTTGTACGACCTTGTTGTGACAGATTATGTGACCTTGTACGACCTTGTTGTGAGATTATGTGACCTTGTACGACCTTGTTGTAAGAGATTATGTGACCTTGTATGACCTTGTTGTAAAAGATTATGTAACCTTGTACGACCTGATTGTGAGAGATTTTGTGACCTTGAATGACCTTGTTGACAGTCAGTAGAGTATCAATTTTGATTGTTAAGCACCCAGGAAATTATTCTAAGGAGTATATAGTTGCCCATTTGCCATTTTGTCCCTCTGTCTATTCTCTCCTCACACTTACTGACTAAATTATATGAAAAAATCGATAATTTAAGATGCTGAGGGACTTTTAAGAGATTTAGATTACATGAGAGTGTGAAACAACAGTTAGACCAAGTATGAAAATATATTTCTTTCATTTCAGTTTAATTTGCCAGACTTTGGGAAACAGATTGTGTTTTCAGAGCCATTAAATATGTCAGAATGGTATGTATTGACTTTCTCTTTAAAGGGATACTCAGGCAAAATAATGATAAAAATATAAAAATGATCTTGTATACTGAAATCACACTAAAATGACATTTCTTAAAGTCCCAGCATGAATTTCTGTATAAATTCTATATATTTTTGGTTTGAAGCTTAAATATATCTATATATGTTGAATGAAATTTATACGCCAACAGAATCAGCGAAAAGTTTAAAAACAAGTCATGTGATTTGAACAATCCCTGTAAGTTACAATAACAGGTATTATGGGTATTGTATGATTGAAACACAAGTAATTGATTTGACATGTTCTTTAACGTTTCCAGAGTACACAGTGACATTTTTTGTGAAATCTTAGCGCTCTTACCTGACCCACGCGGGTCAAGTTAGGAAAACATCATTTTATTCTTTTTATGGTGAAAAACTTTGTTCCTTTTACTGTTAAGTGTATTCTTTTTGAGGACATTTACAGAATAATTAATGAAAAATTCAAAACTTAGAAATGAAAATTTTGCCTGTGTCTCCCTTTAATGATCCAAGACTTAATTTTTTGTGTGTGTTAAAAAAATTTGTTTTTATTTTGGCATAGCTTTTGCAAATGGTTTGATTTGTCATAAGACATAAAAAGTTGATATTAAACTTCTGGAAGTGGAGATCCTTCAGCTGCAATCAAAACAAAACAAATATCTTTAGTTGAAAATTGCAAACTCAGTTACTGTGAATTCACTTAATTTTGTCGGTATGAAATTTTTTGGTTTTGTCCCTTTACAAAGAAAATTTTTGTGGGTTCTTAAATTTGTGGAAAGTTGTTTTTTACCAAAAGGTAAAATGTAAACAATGGGGTGCAAAATAATCTTACAGCAGACAATATGAAATTTCGTCAGATCTTAAATCCCGCGGATAAAAAAATTTTTGCAGTACAAAGTTTGTAAGTGTTGGAAATTTTAGCATCGTGCTTTATGTGTATCGTTTACCAACTTGTAAATAATTTTTTTGGAGAGAAAAAAAGTGTCATGATTTGGCTTACTTTATGATAGTGAATGTTCAGTTAGTTGTGTGTAATATTTTTGAGCATTTGTCAGTGACGGTATTGTAATATTTTTGAGCATTTGTCAGTGATGGTATTTTATATCTTGTTGCAGTAAGAAGAAGACGTTTGCAGACCTTGCACCAGAAATACAGGAAGAAATTAAAGAAGTGATGAAAAAAGATTGTGTAACCTCGTATGTATTATATATACTGTTAATGACTGTTTTATTTTTAGAATATTAGCTGTGAGAATGACTTATCTATGCCACAAGTATAAAGCTTGGCCAGTTTGAACATATACATATATTGTTACCTTAGTGCAATAACTTATTAACTCCTATTAAATTTAGCCATACTTAATTCGTTACTGCACTAAGGTGACAAATTTAATAAAGTATGCTCTGAATGGACAAATTTTATATTACGACAAATAGATCAAGAACTAACACAATTTTAAATATCAACACATGTTTCGTTTATTACCTTCATCAGTTGATAAATAAATAACAAAGGAAATGACGAAAACGTACTTAACAGATATCTACGTTCACAGATACCACATTTGTTGCATTATAGAAATGTTATAGTAATATTATAAAATAAAACGTCTATTACTGTTTTATACAATAAAAATGTATATATAGACATAATTATTTTAAATAGCATATATAATATATAATTTTAGAAAAGAATTACATAAAATAATTAGATCAAAAGATACATACATTTTCATAGAGAAACTAGGCTAGTAAATTCCTCAAACTTGAGTAATGTATACTTGATCAAAACACAAAATTTGATTTGTGTCTCATAGTTTTTTTATTATGGAAAAAAGATTCCAACCAATGTTTTACTGTCATTTAAAGCTCAATTTTCATTTCTCAGTTGCACAGGAGACCAGTTGGAGATCTTGTGGGCGTATAGACAAAATCTTCATGACTACCCTGGCTTGTTGCCATGGATATTACAGGCAGCTCCAGGCTGGGACTGGGCGTGTCTTCCAGAGATATACGCCCAGATCAAACAGTGGTCGACATTACAGCCAATGCAGTCATTAGAGCTCCTCCTACCACAGTATGTTCCATTTTTGATTTGATTATATTTTCAGTTTGTAAGTATGACTTGCCAATATCAAGTTTGAATGTTTATAAATGAAATCCAAGCCATGATTTACTGTTTTCTAATTCATTATCCGGTAACTTTTTTACCAATACATTATTTTAACCTTTCTGTAAGCTTGTTTTTTTATATAAGCAAGTTTGAATTGCTTAAAAGGTGAAGGTTGCATTTATCTTTGATTATTTATTGATTAGATCCTTCTTAGCATGAAACTAATTTTAATATTTCATTAAAGAGACTCCACTATGATGGGACTGGAAATAATTTTTTTTTAACTTTTTTCTGTCATTTGATTTGAGTCTAGATCAATAACTTGTGCGCACAATTTCAGATCATTTGCTCACTTTGTTTTTACAGAATAATTATTCTATTTGTGAAAAATGACTTTAATTGAAAAAATGTTGCAACTCTTTTCACTAAAAAATGGCAAAGAATAGCACAAAAATAAGTTTTCAATTTATTTCTGAGTATATTTCTTAATTATCTTTTGCATATCCTTCAGTTTAATTGCCTAAACTGATATATGTAAGAAATTTAAATTTTACATTTTTAAGCATTTGAACCTCAGTGCAGTTCCTTTAATGAATTGTAATGTTATAAAAGGAATCTTATTTAAGAATACACTTTCACGTAAAAAATATTGCTAAATGACAGGTACCCAGATTTGAAAGTGCGTTCTTTTGCCGTTGATTGTTTGAGAACTATGCCGACAGATGATCTCATTGCATTTATACCTCAACTTATTCAGGTAAGTCATAATATAGCTTTGCATTTATACCTTTACTTATTCATGTAAGTCATTTTACCGCTTTGCATTTATATCTCTAATTATTCGTGTAAGACAAATTATCACATTACATTTATACCTCAACTTATTCAGGTAAGACAGATTATCACATTGCCTTTATACTTGCGCTTAGTCAGGTAAGACCTATTATCACATTGCATTTATATGTCAACCTATTTATGTAAGACAGATTATCTCTTTGCATTTATACCCCACTTACTTCATGTAAGACTTATTGCAGAACATTTATGTTTGAACATTTTCAGGTAAGAAATAATATTGCATTTATATTTCAACTTATTTCATGTGATACATATTATCACATTACATTTGTGCTTCTAGCATCATACAGGTAAATGGTTTTTGCCTCAAATCTTTTTTGTAAGACATAATTCTTTCTTCAGTCTGGCTTATGAAAATTTGGTGTATGTGAGAGAATTGCCATCTGAAATCCTTCTCTATCTCTAAAACTAGAGTGTTGCTAAATTACATTTGAGCCGCATCATGACAAAACCAACACAATGGGTTTGCGACCAGCATGGATCCAGACCAGCCTGTGCATCCGCACAGTCTGATCAGGATCCATGCTGTTCGCATACAAACCCTATAACAAGTAGAGAAACTGATAATGAACAGCATGGATCCTGATCAGACTGCGCAGATGCGCAGGCTGGTCTAGATCCATGCTGGTCGCAAACCCATTATCTTGGTTTTGTCATGATGCAGCTCATTTATAGTGTCCATTTGAAATTGGAATCAAACAAGAATTCGATGTACATTTTTTGTTTGTTGAATATATAAAAGTCATGTACTTCTGCAATGATTCAGCTTGAGGACACCTGTTTATGGCAGTAATGAGGCTGTACCTGAGAGCTAGATATCTCTGTCTGTGGTGACAGCCATGTTTCATTCTTTTCCTGAATATTACAAATTAATGATATTTCAAAAAAGAAATTACGAAAAATAATATTTTTGTTTAGCAATTTTTCTTATAGTGGCCTATGAATTTACAACTTCATTCATTACAGCACAATGACGTCATCCTAAGAACACAATGCATTCATAAAAGACGCTTGGGAATGACATCATTTAAAACATTCAACTTCTCTAACACCCGGGGGGGGGGGGGTGTAAAGGGTAGATCATCCTGTCTAATATGCAAGGATTTTATGTTCTTGCATATTAGACAGGATTATCTACCATTTACACCGGTGCTAGAAAACTCTATCTTACACCCCCTCCCCTGTAAGACAAGTTACGCGCTTTAAATGACGTCATTCATGATTGTTGAGCACCTTTTATGAGTGAATTGCGTTATTAGGATGATGTCACTTAACCGTTATGAATGAAGTTGTAAGTTCATAATTATGCTACTTTAAGAAAAAAAAGTGCGTAATTAGAATATCAGTTTTCGTAATTTCTGTTCTGATATGTAATATGCAAGAAAAAGAATCAAACACCAGCTATCGGTGCAGACAGGATTTTCTAGCTCTCGTGTAACTGTTTAGCGGAAACTAGGCAGAGACTCATTACCGCCATAAACAGTTACCCTCGAGCTAATTATTCTGGTCTGTACCGGCAGTAGGTGTAAGATTCTTATATTCTAGCATATTATTGTGAACACCTAATTGCATATTTATATCATCTCATTATATAGAAATGTAAATGAAAAATTTGTAATTTTTATCAAAGAAAATAAATAGTTTGTTTATTGTATTTCAGGCTTTAAAATATGAAAGTTATCATAGTTCTCCTCTGGCAAGGTTATTGCTGGAACAGTCATGTAGAAGTGTTAGATTTGCCCATCAATTCTTCTGGTAAGATTTAGGTTGTGCATGCATGTGTGTGCTGCCAGTTAATTTACCTTCAGTACTTTAGACGCAGACAGAATCACTGAGTAGTTTTAAAACTAGTCATGTGATTTGGACAAGCAATGGAAGTTACAATAACAGATATTGCGGATATTGTTTGATTGAAACAAACCTAAATCATTCATTTCACACGTTCTTTAACATTTTAAGAGTTCACTGTGACAACTATAGTGAAATCTTAATGCTCTAACATGACCGACGTGGGTCACGTTAGGAATCCATCATTTTATCTTTATAAGGAGAAAAATTTTTTTCCTTAGACTGCCTTGTGTATTTATTTTGAGGACATTTACAGATTAATGAGTAAAAAATTCAAAAGGAAGAAATAAATTTTTTTGCCTTAGTCTCCCTTTAATCACTGTGTACACTGTTACAACAGTTTTACTCATTGGAACAAAAAAATTTAATTTTTATAAAAATATTACACTATTATTAACTAACAAGTTAAAAATAAAACTAATATATTGTAGGCTGTTAAAGGGAGCCACTCAAGACAGTCAATACAAGAGAAGATACGAGCTAATGTTTGTAGCGCTGGTCAGCGTAGCGGGCGAGGCTTTATACCAGGAGTTTATGAAACAAGAGGAGATCGTGAAAGTTCTCCAGACGACAGCTGAACGTGTACAACAAGCAAAAGGCAGCGAGAAAGAGGTTTGCTATTATTCATATGGTTTATTTGTCGGGCCATTATTGTACAATACATCTTGTTTATTTAGTTCTATTAGAATATAGGTCTAAAATAAACAATTTGTTTTGATAAAAGATGAACTTATTGTGGTATTTGAAATTACTCATATTTCTATATCTTTAGGACAGTCTGTTTAGTTAAATTTTGCAAGCCTTAGCTCTTTTGGACTTGAAATAATGATTTGATGAGTCCTGTTCAAAAGACTGGTGGGAAATTTCAATTGAATTCATGAAGAGGAACCCGAGAATTCAAGAAGCTTAAATGTCACCACAGGTCTTTCGTTGTCCTGGCATACACATAGGTTTGATTTGACATTTGGTTAATAGCGATTTGCTTTGTGCCATTTGCCTTGAATTACTGTTTCATTTGATTTATATGAAGTGGATAACAGTTTTTTAGCTCAACTATTCGAAGAATATGAGAGCTATTGTAGTCACCCTGGCGTCGGCGTCCACGTCGGCGTCTGCGTTGGTTAAAGTTTTTAGTAAAGTCAAATATCTCAATTATTGCTTGAGATATTCAATTGAAACTTACAATACTTATTTATAGTAACAATGTACATCAGATTGACAAGTTGGATAACTCTGCCTACAATATTTACAGAATTATGCCCCTTTTTAACTTAGAAATTTTGGTTAAAGTTTTTTGTAAAGTCAAATATCTCAATAACTATCAGAGATTTTGATTTGAAACTTCTCATATGCATGAAGGGTCATAATTGTATGTCACTGACCAAGTTCCATAACTCTATCTTGCATTTAGGCTGATTTATCTCCCCTTTTCTACTTAGTCTTTTGGTTAATGTTTACATGCAAGTTTTACATATCTCAATAACTATTAAAGATATTTATTTAAAACTTCACATATGCATTTAGGGTCATAATTTTAGGTCACTGACCAAGATCCATAATTCTATCTTGCATTTGGGCTAATTTTTCTCCCCTTTTTCAACTTCGAAATTAATGGTAAAGTTTTGCTTGTAAGCTGTTATCTCCATAACTACTGAAGGGTTTGTGCCTTTTTTGGGACAATTTTATGCATTCATAATAATAAAGCAGTGATTTACTTGATAAAACATCTTAGTAACAAGCCTTTGTACCTTTTCGGTCAATTTTATGTATTCATAGTTAATTAGCATTACTATACTCAAAAAAACACCCTTGTGACAACTTTTTTGAATAGTCGAGCCTTACTGTCCTCAGACAGTTCTTGTTATGAACATGTTAGCACTAGAAAAGAATCCTGGAAATCTTTAAAGGTAAAAAGAGTACTGTACATGAATGAAATATCATTTAATAATTGGTCAACTATCAACATTATCCTCAACCAAAAGGAATTTATTCAATACAGTGTCAGAGCACTACCTCTTGAAACTTGACAGAAATTATGATCACGCTTATTTTTCTTTCATTATTATGCCCCCATTTCGAAGAAAAGGGGGTATATTGCTTTGCACTTGTCGGTCCGTCGGTCCGTCGGTCCGTAGACCAAACGGTTTCCGATCAATAACTAAAGAACCTTAAGGCCTAGGAACTTCAAACTTGGTATGGTGATTGGTCATGACCAGTAGATGACCCCTATTGATTTTGGGGTCAAAGGGTCAAAGGTCAAGGTCACATTGACCTTGTAAGCAAAAACGGTTTCCGATCAATAACTAAAGAACCTTAAGGCCTAGGAACTTCAAACTTGGTATGGTGATTGTTCATGATCAGTAGATGATCCCTATTGATTTTGGGGTCAAGGGGTCAAAGGTCAAGGTCACATTGACCTTGTAAGCAAAAACGGTTTCCAATCAATAACTAAAGAACCTTAAGGCCTAGGAACTTCAAACTTGGTATGGTGATTGGTCATGATCAGTAGATGATCCCTATTGATTTTGGGGTCAAGGGGTCAAAGGTCAAGGTCACATTGACCTTGTAAGCAATAACGGTTTCTGATCAATAACTAAAGAACTTTAAGGCCTAGGAACTTCAAACTTAGTAGGGTGATTGGTCATGATCAGTAGATGACCCCTATTGATTTTGGGGTCAAGGGGTCAAAGGTCAAGGTCACATTGACCTCTTGGGTAAAAACGGTTTCTGATCATTAACAAAAGAACCCTTAGGCCTAGGAACTTCAAACTTGGTATGGTGATTGGTCATGACCAGCAGATGACCCCTATTGATTTTGGGATTAAGGGGTCAAAGGTCAAGGTCACATTGACTTTGTAGGTAAAAACGGTTTCCGATCAATAACGAAAATACCCTTAGGCCTAGGGACTTCAAACTTGATATGGTGATTGGTCATGATCAGTAGATGACCCCTATTGATTTTAGGGTCAAGGGGTCAAAGGTCAAGGTCACATTGACCTCTTAGGTAAAAACGGTTTCCGATCAATAACTAAAGAACCCTAAGGCCTAGGAACTTCAAACTTGGTATGGTGATTGGTCATGACCAGTAGATGACCCCTATTGATATTGGGGTTAAGGGGTCAAAGGGCAAGGTCACATTGACCTTGTAGGTAAAAATGCTTTCAAATCAATAACTTAAGAACCCTTTGGCCTAGGAACTTCAAACATGGTATGGTGATTGGTCATGACCAGCAGATGACCTATTGATTTGGGGGTCAAGGGGTCAAAGGTCAAGGTCACATTGACCTTGTATGTTAAAAGGATTTCAGATCAATTAACTTAAGAACGCTTAGGCCTAGGAACTTCAAACTTTGTATGATGATTGGTCGTGACCAGCAGATGACCCCTATTGAGTTTTAGGTCAAGGGGTCAAAGGTAAAGGTCATGACCAGTAGATACTTGATAACCCTTATTAATTGTTCACTGGGTCAGAAGTCATGCATAATAACCTTTTCACATGACTTATTGGCTGCTGATAGGGGGCATACATGTTTTACAAACATATCTTGTTGTATATAAATTGCTGTGAAGAGATAAATTAGCTGTCTGAAAGTGCATTTCGGTGAGTGAAATGGCGAGATTTTAGCATTTTATCATTTGAGCACCTTGTCTGGTATATATACTGGAGTACGGTATTAAGTGTGATGCTACAACTATTCTTTTTTTCAGTATCACTCCAACCAAAATATGTCTATTGAAAACTTCTGTAATAATAGGTATTCTCATAGGCAGCAAAATCAATTATGATCAAATTTTAATGTCTTTCTTTTTCAGAATGCATTACATAAGAATTTAGAAATCCTGTACGAGATATTTGAGAGCAAAAATAAGGTGTTGCTTCCACATAACCCTGGTTACGAGGTGTCAGGAATTGAAATGAATGTAAGTATTAAAATATCAGTTTTTACTCTCTCTACTTTTTTCCTATATAAAGAATATCTTTAAGTTTAGTGTTTAACAAAGTATTATGAAAGTACAGTGCACTCCGGATACAACGAGATCGTCGGGACTTCGGGTGATTCCTCGTTATAACCGGATCTCGTTATAACCGGAACAGAACAAATTGAGAAATCCGACACCGTCGAGCATCATTTATTTCTTCTTTCGCGTGCATCCTTTTTGAAGAGTATTTAATGGGAGATAACTCTTTGCAATCAGACGTTTTGTTTTATTTAAATATACATGTATATAAATATATCTAGCTATCATAGAATTTAAACAAAACATGAAAACACAACCTACGTCTAACCGCGTGTGTTTTTTCATTAATATGAACATTTTTAAATTCGTTTTCAAAAGTCACGCAGTGCATTTCTCACGAACACCGAATAACACCGCAAGAAATTAGCCGCTTGTGCTAATCACTCAATGAAATTGTTTTGTTATGACATTTCGTCACCTTAAGGACAATTTAGCACGGAGCGCTGACAAAACAAGGCTGACACATTTGATCGCTAATTGCTCGACCCATTATCTCGTCCCGCGTCAATGATTTCTTCCATAATTGACCATTATTATTGGTCATCATTGTTTTTCTCAAGGTGACAAACTGATGCAGACGAAGTGCAAAAGAAGTGACCTCGTTAAAATTCTGAAAAATACGCATAGGACGGCGAAATTATGTACGTTGTAACCGATATCTCGCTAAAACCGATCTCGTTATAAACGATAAAAAATGAAAGGAAAATAGAAGGAAAAAGGCCGGGACACAGTAGAATGTACGTTGTAAGCGGTATCTCGTTAAAACCGATCTCGTTATAAGTGGAGTAGACTGTACAAATTTTCATGTCCCCATATCGATTGGTGTGGATTTTTTTTTTTTTTTGTCATATATTTTTGCCAGTCCGTCTGCTTGTTGAGAACTTATGCCTTAGCCATAACATGTTTGTTCTTAATATAAGAGCCTGCATAATAATAGTGTTATTTGGGAACATAAAGGGCTTAATTTACTATCCCTTGGTTCATTGGCAGACAACTTGACCTTTAGACTTATACTTATTTGGGCTACCCTATGATTATACCTTTATGTTGATTTGATTGGAAACAAAACAGAAGTACCAATTCTACACAAGTCTAAAAATTACAGTAATTATACAAAATTAAGATAGAATGATACAATATATACATAATCTAATTGTTTTTCAGTCATGTTCATTTTTCACCTCTAATGCTGTCCCATTGAAACTTGTATTTAAAAATGCTACGGAGAACGTCGGTCCGGTTTACGCGATGTTCAAGGTCGGTGATGATCTACGTCAGGATATGATGACGATGCAGATTGTGCAGATTATGGACCATCTCTGGCTGAAAGAAGGACTCGATCTCAAAATGATCACATTTAGTTGTCTCCCAACCGGTCCTAGAAGAGGTACTTGATAAAATGTTTTGGTCATTTGAGAGGCACGCCATGACAAAACCAAGATAATGTGTTTGCGACCAGCATAGATCCAGACCAGCCTGGGCATCCGCGCAGTCTGATCAGGATCCATGATGTTAGCTTACAAACCCTATTACAAGCACAGAAACTGATAGCGAACAGCATGGATCCTGATCAGACTGCGCGGATGTGCAGGCTGGTCTGGATCCATGCTGGTTACAAACAAACTATGTTGGTTTTGTTATAGTCGGCTAAGTGAAACAATAGGTAACAGTAAATTTTCTTTGATACTCATCCACAAAACAGATGGGGGGATTTCAGTGAAATTTCACAGAATTGTTTGTCACCAAGCCTAGTTGTGCTTACTCTCTTGATTTTTCACTTGAATTAATTTTTGGCACAGTTATGGCCCCTTAATGGTCAATTTTTGAGTAAAATAAGCTTGTCCACTTTACATCTCCAAAAACTGCTAGGGGATTTCAGTGAAACTTCACAGGATTGTTTGTCACCAAGCCCAGTGGTGCATAGTATCTTGAATTTTCAGTAAATTAACTTTTTCCACCCTTCATCTCCAAAACCAATTGGGAAATTTGAGTGAACATTTATAAAATTGTTTGCATGGTGTCATGATTTTCCAAGTCTAGTTGTGCATTGTGCCGTGATTTTGTGCATGATTTTTTCGCACAGTTTTGGGCACTTTATGAAGATTTTTTTTAGCGAAATTTGTTAAGACTTTTTCTCCTACACTTTTAATAGAATTTCAATTAAATTTTAGGCATGATATTTATCAAAGGCGGTCAGGCATATATTACCATTATTTTGGCTTATATTAAGGATTTTATGTCATAGCTTTCTTTTGAGGACATACGTCACTTTTCAGTGACAGCTCTTGTTTTGTTGGTATCTCCAAAACTACTGAACAGAATGGGTTGAAACTTCACACGCCTTTGCTGTGATAATGTAACATGATGGATAAAAGTGCCATAACTCTGAGTCACCTATTTCAAAGTTATTCCCCTTTTCTTACTGTCAGGCTCTGAGAATAGTCCAGTATGCTGTCTTATGGACAGCATTTTTAAGCTTGACATATACAGAATAATCGACCTAAATGCAGTCACCCATTTGTCTGGGCCGGCGTCGCTGTGGTTAAGTTTTTACGTGTATGCTGGTACCTCCAAAACTACTGAAGGGAATGGATTGAAACTTCACAAACTTGTGCTTTGTGATTATCTAACATGATTTGCACAAGTTCTATAACTCTGATTTGCTTTTGTGCATATTTATGCCCCTTTTTCGACTTAGAAATTCTTGGTTAAGTTTTTGCGTGCATGCTGGTATCTCCATAGCTACTAAAGGGAATGGATTTAATTTTCACAAACTTGTTCTCTGTGATTATCTAAGATGATTGGCACAAGTCCCATAACTCTGATTTGCTTTTTTACACAATAATGCCCCTTTTTCGACCTAGAAATTCTTGGTTAAGTTTTTGCGTGTAAGCTGGTATCTCCATAACTACTGAAGGGAATGGATTGAAACTTCACACACACTTGTTCTCTGTGATTTTCTAAGATGATTGGCACAAGTCCCATTACTCTGATTTGCGTTTGTGCATATTTATGCCCCTTTCTGACTTAGAAATTCTTGGTTAAGTTTTTGCTTGTAAGCTGGTATCTCCATAACTACTAAAGGTAATTGATTGAAACTTCACGCACTTGTTCTTTGTGATTATCTAACATGATTGACATAAGTCCCATAACTCTGATTTGCTTTTTGTGTTGCCTTTAAAATATATAGGGGTTACTTTTGCCAGTGGTGTCAGTGTCGTTGTTGTGTTGGCGGCGGCCCCTTATGCTTGTCCAGAGCATATTTTAGTCACTATAAGTAGGATTGACTCCAAACTTGGTATGCATGCTTGTTTCAATAACTTGAAGTGCAGTGCACAAGAATCGTTTACCCTGAACTTCTTAATTTTTGAGTAATTGCCCTTTGTTAATTTTCTTACTTTTTTTTGGTCCGGGCCATTTCTCCTAAACAATATAAGCTATTGACTTGAAACTTCATGGGATGATAGATGTCATTAAGAAGAAGTGCAGTGTACAATGTACAAGAACCTGTACTCTGCACTTCTTGATTTTTGAGTTATTGCCCTTTGTTAATTTTCTTATTACTTAATAGGCTTGTCCAGAGCATAACTTGGTTGTTATAAGTTTGATTGACTCCAAATTTAGTATGTAAGCTTTTTTCATTGACCTGACATGCAGTGCTTAAGAATCCATCACAGAGTCCTCCATTTGATCTGTCAGTGTAAAACTTTTCCTTTGTATTTTATTTTAAATAATATAACAGTTTTATTAATCCTGATGTAACATTGTTACAATCAGTTCAAATGCCACTTAAATTCAAGGGACATGTACATTGTAAGAGTGATGTTTATAAAAAACCTATATTTAATAAAAATGCCTATGTGACATATATATGGCTATACTGTTCACAGGGTGACACATCCAACTCGGAGAGTTCTAGTTTGCATTATTATGCCCCTTTTTCAACTTAAAAATTCTTGGTTAAGTTTTTGCTTGTATGCTGGTATCTCCATAACTACCGAAGGGTTTCTGCCTTTTTTGTGACAATTTTATGCATTCATAATAATCAAGCAGTGATTTACTGGATAAAACATCTTAATAACAAGCCTTTGTACCTTTTAGACAATTTTATTATGTATTCATATAGGTAAGCATTATTATACTCAATGAAACACCCTTGTGACAACTTTTTCGAATAGTCAAGCGTCAATGTCCTCAGACAGCTTTTTTTTTTTTTAAATATTAGGTATTATTGATAATTGATCGCATTTTGACACCTGAACAAAGTTATGTTCTTGCATCATGCGTCATCAATATTTTATTTATCTGTTCTATTACTATATAAATCACTCTTTTTTCTTTAACTCAGGATTCATTGAAATCATCACAGAATCTGAAACATTGAGAAAGATTCAAGTGATGTCAGGGGTCACGGGTTCATTCAAGGATCGTGTAATTAAGGATTGGCTTCAGAAGCATAACCCAACAGAGCTTGACTATCAAAAGGTATGGTATAGGTTTTGAAAATGACATGACATATGAGCCGTGACATGACAATTCCAACATAGTCGTCAAATGATGTAATCTGGAAATGTTACGTCAAAATTGACAACAATTTTTATGCTCTCCCAAGGGTGAGCATATATATAGTCCCAGCTTTGTTCGTCCGTCTGTCCATCTGTTTGGAAGTAGATAGATCTCATTGGGTAGATGTGCAGTGCACAAGAACCATAACTTTGCCTTGCCAAATTATGGAGTTATTGCTCTTTGTTCATTTTTTACACTTTGAACTTTGTCCGGGACATGACTCTAAAAAAATAAGAGATATCAACATGAAACTTTGTAGGTAGATAGATCTCATTAGGTAGATGTGCAGTGTAGAAGAACTGTAACTTCGCATTGCCTAATTTTTAGAGTTATTGCCCTTTGTTCATTTTTACACTTTGTCCTGGACATTACTGTTAAACTACAAGAAATATCAACAATAAACTAAGTTGGTGGATAGTGCTCATTGAGACGAAGTGCAGTGCAAAGAACAGAAACTGTTCCTTGCCTAAGTTTGGAATTATTGCACTTTAAACTTTGTCTGGGACATAACTCAAAACTTGAAAAGGTATACTTTTCTGCGTCCAAAACTTATTGGGGAGCATCACCCTGTCAACAGGCTCTTGGTTTAATTATATGTTGCACGCTTTTCCAATCAGAACTGTGCAGTTTTTTAACAGTGCACACAACAGTTGTATGTAAACAAAAACAAATAAAAAAAATTAAAAAAAATTGTTACTGCACTAAAATAATAAAACTGTTCACCACAATGATGACGATTTTCGCAGTTTAAAGATACATGACTCATTTTTAGAGCGTTAAGGTTAAGTACAAACTGCACTGATAAACTTGTTCTGGTAACCAAACACTTAATGAATCATATCTTAAATACCTGGAAAGAAAATTTCAAGGAAAATATGAGTTGACAAATCTAATTTCAACTAATCAAACAACACTTGACATATTGTCCTTGCAATAGAAAGCACTTTCAGGGCTTACTTGCTTAAAACATTTAAACAATTAGAACATGTATTCTTTTGATTGTTATTGTATTTCCAGTGTCAAGATATTTTCCAAGTATTTCTTTTCATTGTTACATGATGTGGCTGATATTTATATACATGTATATATATATATTGGAAAAAACACTTTAATGTTAATAGAACAAGGAATATATCACATCACATGGGTATCATTGTTTTATATTAGAGACACTCCAAAACAAGAGTATATAATTGAGAGACAATTGTTAAGTGTAGTAGATGTGTGAGTAAGACGCTTGAAGTTGTTGAAATACCATCCTGCTTTCTATAAAATTATGGGAAAAACAAAATTTCCTTGAAATTAAACAATGCCTCAAGATCCATACTTATTTTCATAACAATTAGGAAAATATATTTCAAAGTAAAAAGTTTAGTGAAGTGTACAAAGGAAGTAGTTTATACATTGCATACAATCCACGTAAATTACCAAATAGATGTCAAAATAAGAAAAATAGCCCCAACTGCATCAGTCTTGCAGTAGATACAGGGTGATATTTCATTTTGTTAATATTTTGCATTATTATTTTAAATGTACTCTGTCAAGTTGTTGTTATAGTTTATGCTAATAAGTGAAAGTCTGGGGCTTTTTATTAAGATGTACTCTCACAAGTCCTTGTAATAGTTTATGCTAATAAGTGAAAATCTGGGTTTTTATTGCGTGAGATAAAACCCATATTACTCATGACATTGTGAACAAAGCTTTGTAGAACTGTTTTGTGGCTTACTTATTATTTTATGATTCTTTAATTTCCTTAAAATTGTATTGTGTGTCTTTTAAGCATATTTCTTGACAATAACTACGCTAAAAATAATAAAAAATTGTCACCGCAGTTATTACTCTAAGCTGTAACTTCTTTTGTTTTGCACAGTAGTATGCCTAGCTGTTGAATGTCTGACCTCATTTTCTTTACGGGGTCTGTTTCCCAGGCCTTTACAACATATTTATCCAAAAATAATGAAATTTGTCTTGCATGATTAAAAAAAGATTACATTTTGAGAATCTTTGAAAAAGTTAAATGTCATGTCATGGCTCATATATAGTTTTATACTTTTGAGTGTCTATAGCGATAAAAGCAGTCTTTTAACCAGCCTAGCCTGTGCCTGAAATTTCTGACAGACTGATCCTTTTCATAAAATAATCCTTTCTTGAATTCACTAATGGACTGATCCGGTTCCTGAACTTACTATTGGAATGATCCTGTCCCTATAGTTATTCAAATGGATGGATACTTTTCCTGAAATTACTAATAGACTGATCCTGTCCCTGAAATAATACATGGACTGATCATATGCCTAAAATAATTGAATAATTGATGGATTGAACCTGTCCCTGAGATAATTAAAAGACTGATCCTGTCCCTAAAAAAACTAAAAGACTGATCCTGTCCCTGAAATAACTAATAGTTTTATCCTGTTCCTGATCTTGTCCCAGAAGTAATTTAAATGGACTGAAATTACTTGTAGACTGCTCCTGTTCCTGAAATTACTAATGGATTGATCCTGTTCCTGAAATAACTAATGGACTGATCCTGTTCCTGAACTAACTAATGGACTAATCATGTCCCTGAAATAACTAATGGATTGATCCTGTCCCTGAAATTACTAATGGACTGATCCTGTTCCTGAAATAACTTATGGACTAATCATGTCCCTGAAATAAGTAATGGATTGATCCTGTTCCTGAAATTACTATTGAACTGATGATGTCCATGAATAAACTAATGGACTGATTGTGTCCGTGAAATAATGAATGGACTGATGATGTGAATAGAATAACTAATGAACTGTTACTGTCCCTTAAAGAACCCAGCCCTGAGGGGCGTCCGTGGCAGAGTGGTTAAGGTATTTTACTTCAAATCACTTGCCTCTCACCACTGTAGGTTTGAGCCACTTCAGCGACTTCAGATATTCATATGATTAAGCTATCCAGCTAGCTTACGGAACCCCGGTGGTTCTACTGAGGTGCCCATTTGTACCTGAAATAATATACAGAGGGGCACCTGAGGTCTTCCTCCACCAGCAAAGCTGGAAAGTGGCCATTTGACCTATACTGTGTCAGTGTGACCTAAAACCAAAATATAAAAAAAAAAAAAAAAAAAAAAAAAATCCCAGCCCTGAAATAACTAACCCAGCCCTGAAATAACTAATGAACTGTTCCTGTCTCTGAAATCACTAATGGATTGATCCTGTTCATGATATAATTAATGAACTGATCCTGTTGCTGAAATTACTGCTGAAATGATTATGTCCCTGACCTTACTGCTGGAATGATTCTACCCTTGAAATTACTAATAAACTGATCCTGTTCCTGAAATTACTAATAAACTGATCCTGTTCCTGAAATTACTAATAAACTGATCCTGTTCCTGAAATTACTAATAAACTGATCCTGTTCCTGAAATTACTAATGGACTGATCCTGTTCCTGAAATTACTAATGGACTGATCCTGTTCCTGAATTAACTAATGAACTGATCCTGTCCCCGAAATAATTAATGAACTGATCCTGTCCCTGAAATTACTATTGGACTGACCCTGTTCCTGAAATTACTAATAGACTGATACTGTCCCTGAAATAATTCATGGTCTGATCCTGTCTTTGAAATAACTAATATACTGATCCTGTCAAAAACTGATCCTGTTCCTGAAATTACAAGTGGCCTGATCCTGTTCTTGAAATAACTAATGGACTGATCCTGTCCCTGAAATAATTAATGGACTGATCCTGTCTCTGAAATTACTAATATACTGATCCTGTCCGTAAATATGGTATTGCACGGCTGAACATGTATTTTGAAATTGCCTCATTTGCGTTATACAAACATAGTGTTAAGACACATTAAATGTAAGCGTTATACCATAGGCACGTCAAGGAAAATTGACTTGCGTTATATAATTTTATTTAACTCCTTCAATAAATTCAGTATTAAACTTACGCTCATTCAATATCCTCTAACCAATTTCTTCTAAAATCTTTTAACACATGTGTTTTTCAGGCTGTAGAGAACTTCACACGTTCATGTGCTGGATACTGTGTAGCCACATATGTGTTAGGCGTATGTGACAGGCATAATGATAATATTATGGTGAAACAAACAGGTCACCTGTTTCATATAGACTTTAATAAAATACTTGGCGATGCTCAGATGTTTGGAAATATTAAGAGGTTAGTATACTAATAAAATTGTGATGACTTAAAATGAGCCGTGTCACGACAAAACCAACATAGTGCGATTGTGACCAGCATGGATCCAGACCAGCCTGCGCAAACCCACTATATTGGTTTTGTCGTGACACGGCTCAAATATTTGAAATTATCTTGCATTTTATGTTAATTGTTTAAAAATTTGAAAGGCTTGAAAAATTTGAACAGCTGAAATTTGAATAAATTGAAATTTTAATGGCTTATTATATTTTAAAATTTCAGTGATTTTATTTAATTTGCATAAATTTCTAAATATTACTATATGGCTTTCGCAAATTTTTAAGCTATCCAAGTTTGCAGGTTAAGGAATTAGAAAGGAATTAGGAGTTTCCTTCATAAGATGCTGGTAAACTATCTCCATAAGTTGCTGTAATGAGAAAATTTCAAGTAACATAACTCTGACTTGCTTTTTATGAGAATTATGCCTGTTTTCAACTTTGGAATTCTCCATATCCATTTTAAAGCAGCACGCCTCCAGATTCATGTTAATTTTCATGAAAATTTTTGGAAACGAATTTAAAAGTAAAATATTGTGAGAAGAACAACAAAAAAAAAGTGATTCACATATTTCAATCAGCACTTACAATGCAAGAAAATTTCCAAAAAGTGGTCAACATATGCAAAAACAGCCCTTACTGCGTTAGTAACACATTAGAAGAAATATGGTGGTAAAATACTACAAAATCAGTCGTTAACCCCACATAACATGTATAAAAAACTTGGATCTTGAATTATTTTACCTTTCTTAAAATTTTAGTTCATTTTTTTCAATATTGATTTTCTTAAAATATTTCGGCTCATTTGGAGGTGTGCATCTTTAAGGTGTCTGCCCGCTTAGCTCAATAGGGAGAGCATTGCATTAGTAATACAGGGGTGTCTGGTTAGATACTTGATCAAGACGTAATTTCTCTGTAACAATTGTTCTCTGACATGGAGACTAATGGGCACTGTCTCTCACCGTTGATCCAGAAATCATGTGGGATTAGTAGTCTGTAATTTAGGTAGAAATTGGTAATTACTGGTTAGTTATCCAGGAAAGTCAGTAAGGTGGAATGACCTCTCTAATGTGAGCAAAAGAATGTATTAAAATTTGGTGTAAAAATCAGAAAAGACAAACAAACATTTATTATGTGTAAGGCAAAGCAAAACATACTCAACTGAGACATTGAGTGATAAAAACATTTTATCACACACCCTTGCCGATTTTGCGACTCCATAAATATGGTATTGCACGGCCGTGCATATATTTTGACGTGACGTCATAAGCGTTATACAAGAGGCTCGCATAATATAATTTTATTCAACTTGTGCAATAAATTCAGTATTGAACTTACACTCATTCAATATCCTCTATTTATTTTATTTGCAGATCAAACTTCTACTATCTTTGTGTTTTCATTTTCAGAGATCGTGTAAAGTTTGTGTTGACATCAGATATGGCATATGTAATAAACGATGGAGATCGGCAAAGCGATCGGTTCCAGCATTTTATTGATATGTGTGTTAAAGCATTTAATATATTACGTAGACATGCCAACTTGTTCATCAATTTATTCTCATTGGTAAGTTGTGGTTATATCAATTTGTTATAAATATCACTGAGGAATAATGAATAAGAAATATATCTCACTTAGGAATGGGGGAATATGAAATATATATCACTGAGGAAAATATATCACTGAGAAACAAGGGAATAAAAATTATATATCACTAAGGAAAATATATCTCTGAGGAATGAGAGAATGAAAAATATATATCACTGAGGAAAAAGGGAATAAGAAATATATATCACTAAGGAAAATAAATCTCTGAGGAATGAGGGTATAAAAAATATATATCACTAAGGAAAATACATCTCTGAGGAATGAGGGAAGAAGAAATATATATAACTGAGGAAAAAGGGAATAAGAAATATATCCTACTGAAGAATGAGGAAATAAGAAATATATATCACCGAGGAATGAGGGAATAAGACATACATGTATGTATCATGGAGGAATGAGTAAGGATTATATTTCACTGACGAATGATTGAATATATAAGGTATCTCTCACTGATGAAAATATATTTGAGTTATAAAGCAAAGTTTGAATAAGAAAGATATCCAGCTAGATTATGTAAGGTTATTGGTACTACTTAGCAGCCTGCTTATGCCTGAAAAAAATGCTGGAACTCCTGGAGATGCATCTGGGGTTTTCTTCAATTTATGAAATAGAAAAGTCACCTGAACTGTTAATCCAAACCCCTCTTCCCCCCTTAACTCCCCCCCCCACAAAAAAAACAACAAAATAAACAACAAAAAAACCCACAATAAACCCCGAACAAAATAGTGACAACTGAAACTAACTAAATATGACTGTGGTTGCTGCTGTGTTAGTATGACTTAAAAACTAACCTTGTGTTCAGCATATTGTGAATATATGACTTATTATTGTTTAACAGATGTTACGGTCAGGTATACCAGGTATTACGGAGAAAGGTGTAGAGTTTGTACAGAGGGCGCTGCTGCCAGGTCTGACTGATACCCAGGCTACTTCAATGTTCACAAGGTATTATAGAACAATATTTAGCTTTCTTTATATGTGCATACATAGGGAATGGATGTGTTTTTTTTTTCAGTCCTAAAAATAAAAACAAGAACAATAGGAAACAAGCAAATATCAGTGTTATCCCAGGGGTAGATAAGAATTCAACAAATGTTATAAAAGTCATATAAGTTTTTTCAATGCAAGTAAGTAACTAAAAGAACATAGGTCACATATGGTATTTTTGAAAATGAAAATTTAGTGTTATGCCCACTTAAATCAATAAACAGGAATGTGAGGATGTTGTTGTCCTGTCTGATTGACTGCCTGTCTTCTGTATACAATGTTTATTTTAATCATATGTACATTGAATCTAATGGTCGTTTGTCTCTCATTGCCAATTTATGAGAAATAACGTGGGATAAATAGTCGGTCACTTGCAATAAAAATTGGACACTACTGCTGAGTTATCCAGGAAAGCCAGTTAAGTGTATTGAGATATGACCGAAAATGTGTTAAAATTGATTTAAAAATATACCCACCCGTAAAGCTCAAATTTTCTAAAAACAAAGAATTTCTCACAAACTTAGGGTTACTTATTAAAGCAGCATGCCTCCAGATCAGCGAAAATATTTCAATAAATCAAATTTGTGAAAAATGTACTAAGATTTTTAGGAAAAGTAGAAAGATTCAAGATTCAAGTAATAATTTACATGTTATGAGCGATTAATGGTTATTTTTTTCATTATGTGTAACTATATTTCTACTGCGTTACTAACGCAGTAAGGGCATTTTTTGCATATTTTGACCTCTTTTTGTAATTAACATGGGTTGTAAGTGCCATTGATAATGTGTAAATTGCTTCCTTTTGGTTACTATACAATATTATACATTTAATTTCAATTTCAAAATTTTCATGAAAATAAGCATTAATCTGGAGGCGTGCTGCTTTAACAGATGTGGGATAGAGACATTCCTGTTTTATAAGCACATTTTATTAGAAATACAGATCAGAAATTGATAAAGTTTTTTTACATTTGATTTATCTTGGCTCCTTCCTCTTCTATAAAAAGTTAATAAGTATATAGGAAATATTTGTGAGTGTTGCGTGAAACTGTATAAGTGGTTAAGTTAGTCACATGGAAATTTGCCAGTTGATGAAAATGGCTAAAATTTCCTCATGCGTAAATATCAACCAACCTGTCATTGAATTCTACTACTACATGATTTGCTAATATTTCCTCATGCGAAATGAGTTTGCTAACTTTTCGACATGCAGAAGTATCCACTTATACAGTACAATGGGTTTCATATACATGTAGAATTTAAAAATTGAGGCCACAAATTTAAGTACTACAATGTCATGAAATGTCTTTTTGGACAGAACCAATGAACTGCATTGTAATTAATTATATAGTGGTCACACTAAAGAACTGTGGTCATTATGAGTATTGACAAAAGCATCTTAAATGGTATATTTATTGAAACACTTAAAGCATCCTTCAGCTTTTTTAAAGGTTATAATTGAGCCGTGTCACGACAAAACCAACATAATGGGTTTGCGACCAGCATGGATCCAGACCAGCCTGCGCATCCGCGCAGTCTGATCAGGATCCATGCTGTTCGCTTACCAACCCTATAACAAGTAAAGTAGCAGATAGCGAACAGCATGGTACCTGATCAGACTGCGCGGATGCGCAGGCTGGTCTGAATCCATGCTGGTCGCAAGCCCATTATGTTGGTTTTGTCATGACACGGCTCATATTATATGTTCATTTTAGATAAATCATTTCAGATAATTGTCAAATCAAAAGAATTAAGGTGGAAAATGAAATTTGCCAATGCTTAAATACATAAACAATGAGGAAACCCCTCCATACCTATAATCTCATTATTAAAATTAGTGAAGGGGAAAATTTGTTTCCCGATCTTTTATTTTTAGAAACAAACGTCACTGTCCTACAAATAGCTCTCTGGATGCTGTTTTGAAATATGTTAACAGTGATATGATGCACTTTTCTGAAAAAAAATTACTGAAAAACTTAAATTGAAAAAGACAACAGAGAAATATTTTTCCAACAGAATATAAAAGCTGAAGGCCACTTGAAAATTACACAGGTACCAATTTTTGCCTGAAACAATGCATGAAGGGGCACCTGAGGCATTCATGGAGGGGCATCTGAGGGCTTCCTCCACCAGTAAAGCTGGAAAGTTGCCGTATGACCTATACTGTGTTGTTGCGACTTGAAAGCCAACCAAAAACAAAAAAAAGAAACAGAAAAAAAACAACAAACAAACATAAATTACATTACAGAATGATACAGGAAAGTTTAAGTGCTAAATCTACCCAGTTTAACTTCTTCATACATAACCTGGCTCAGATGAAGTTTTCTAGTCACAATGAAGGGGCCCTGCTGTCATTCGTACCTAAAGTTTATAAGTAAGTATAATTTTATACCTAACCTCTCTGAAATATTGTAATGGAGGACTGGTCCTGCTTTGAATTTAGAATGTTCCCTTGTTGACTTTAGGGAGTTTAAGATTAGGTCCATAATGGAAGGACTGTAATTCCAAATAATTAATGTTGATAGTATTTAATATCATATGTGAAAATAAACCATGAAAAAATTAAATAGGGGTGTTGATGGTTGTAAGATACATGATTAATTTTGATATGTCTGTACATGTATATAGCATATAAGTTGTTCTAGAACAAAATATTTTTATTCATGTCATACAAATGTTCATACAAAGTCTGGATAAGAACTGGATACTGGATCAACGTTATGTTTTCCATCAATTTTACATAGAATATCCAAATGACACATATCTATTGCTGTTTATTTTAATAATTGAAATAAAATAAAACGACTATGAGTAACATTTTCATATTTAATTTTGTTATATGTATATGACTCATACATGAACGCTTCAATAATGTTATTGCAAACAATAAAGCAATATCGCACTAAATACAATTCAAAGTTGGATTGTTTTGGCCGCTCAAATTTGACAGGGTATCCCATCTTAATAATTCGACCGAGAGGAGATCATACGTGCTTTTTATTACACATTTACTTTTTGCTAAAGTCCAAATACATACAAAAACACTCAAACAGTATCATACAAAAGCAACGCAACGCAAACGCAAAACACAGTGTTCAACAGTCCAAAAGATTACCGCAAATGACATCAAATTGAACAAGCTAAATATCAAATCAATACACATAAGGCTTAACAGTCAAAATAATTAATTAACAGTTTCGATCTTAATGAACCTGCCTATTAAGTTATTAACTTCTTAATATATTAGCCTATACAGGGTGTGGCGGGCGGCTAATTGAGTGTGTTATTGCTTCGTCGTCAAACAAAAACTGAGAAAGTTGCACGAGAAACTCGGGCTTTTATATTATTAACAGCTAACTCTTTAAACCCGGCCCTATATAGAAATGATAAGATAAACACGGTAACCAGTGTAATGTAAACAATCTATAGATAATGACCGAGGTTTGCCGATTGCCACGTAATGATAGCTTTACACAAGGTAGCAGACGATTATTTCTCTAAAATAAATGGGATTATTTTAATTCTAAAATAATCTTTATTATTTTAATAATTGAAATAAAATAAAACGACTATGAGTAACATTTTCATATTTAATTTTGTTATATGTATATGACTCATACATGAACGCTTCAATAATGTTATTGCAAACAATAAAGCAATATCGCACTAAATACAATTCAAAGTTGGATTGTTTTGGCCGCTCAAATTTGACAGGGTATCCCATCTAAATAATTCGACCGAGAGGAGATCAGACGTGCTTTATATTACACATTTACTTTTTGCTAAAGTCCAAATACATACAAAAACACTCAAACAGTATCATACAAACGCAACGCAACGCAAACGCAAAACACAGTGTTCAACAGTCCAAAAGATTACCGCAAATGACATCAAATTGAACAAGCTAAATATCAAATCAATACACATAAGGCTTAACAGTCAAAATAATTAATTAACAGTTTCGATCTTAATGAACCTGCCTATTAAGTTATTAACTTCTTAATATATTAGCCTATACAGGGTGTGGCGGGCGGGTAATTGAGTGTGTTAATGCTTCGTCGTCAAACAAAAACTGAGAAAGTTGCACGAGAAACTCGGGCTTTTATATTATTAACAGCTAACTCTTTAAACCCGGCTCTATATAGAAATGATCAGATAAACACGGTAACCAGTGTAATGTAAACAATCTATAGATAATGACCGAGGTTTGCCGATTGCCACGTAATGATAGCTTTACACAAGGTAGCAGACGATTATTTCTCTAAAATAAATGGGATTATTTTAATTCTAAAATAATCTTTATTATTTTAATAATTGAAATAAAATAAAACGACTATGAGTAACATTTTCATATTTAATTTTGTTATATGTATATGACTCATACATGAACGCTTCAATAATGTTATTGCAAACAATAAAGCAATATCGCACTAAATACAATTCAAAGTTGGATTGTTTTGGCCGCTCAAATTTGACAGGGTATCCCATCTAAATAATTCGACCGAGAGGAGATCAGACGTGCTTTATATTACACATTTACTTTTTGCTAAAGTCCAAATACATACAAAAACACGCAAACAGTATCATACAAACGCAACGCAACGCAACGCAAACGCAAAACACAGTGTTCAACAGTCCAAAAGATTACCGCAAATGACATCAAATTGAAGATTCCATTCATCGCTGGGAACCCAAGCGTATAAATAGAACCCACAACTGACGCCATTGTACGGCAACGCCATACACTGCAACGCAAAAAACAGGAATTGCCAAGTACTACGGGCAAAACCAAATAACGCAAACTGCAGTCCAAACACATGGACAAACTGTATGATACTTCCAAAATTAATTTCCTGATTATAGGTCGGCCTACCCTGACGGGTATTCCGTCACGAGCAGTAGAACCATACACAGGGTTTTAAGTTAAAATGCCAACAAAACAGAATACAATGTCTGATCTCCTCTCGATCGGAAGAATTTTACGCCACAATAAATTTATCAAAAAATTTATCCCCCAAATTCTTATTGGGAGACTGGTACATTTTTAATGATAGAATCTTTGAAGTAATCTAGGAGGAATTCCAAACCAATATCATTGAGATGAACCCCGTCTGCCCGAAAAAATGCAGTTTTAGCATCAATGTCTGGCTTAATTGTGTCACTTTTACCCGATGAATGAACTAATTGACGGCCTATCCTGTTAACTCGTTTGCGTTTATTTTCCATAGCAACCCAACCCCCCGTGGCATTATGCCAGGTCTGCCTCTGTAATATATCTACCCAAATTAGTACCGTTGTAGGGAAAGCTTCACGTAAGTAAAAAATTTCATCCCGAATAACATCTTTCAAATTTAAAATCGGTAAATCTGCCAAATCATTACCTCCTAAATGAACAATAATAATGGATGGAGGTGAAGAAAATAACACCTGTGATTCAATAGAGTGACGGAAAGACTGCCAACGTAGGCCTCGAACACCCCACCAGGCTATTGTTAAATCTTTCAATCTCAAATTAGGCTTTCCTGTATTCTTTGCCCGCTGTCCAGCCCAGAACGGGATCGAGTCACCCAGGACCCAAACATCCGCTTCAGTCTCTAGAAGCCTGACATCCACCATGTCGTCCAATTCGTCGGCTTAACCTTCTGACCCCTCGATTGTCTGGCATCGACGCGCGGGTTATCCTGCACGTGCTCTTGACTCTGCTGGGGCTGGGCGCTACCACAATCATCTACTGCTCTACCTGCACGACGTGGAGTTGAATTTTGTTGACATTCGACGGTCCCTCGTGCATTTCTCTGCAAACGACGCTCCCCTAGAGGAATTTCAGGTACTGAAGCTGCCTGTCCTCTCTCGCTGCGTCGCATAGCCATTTCTCTTCTCGAAGGTTGAATCCTTCGGCGTGTACGACCTCGTGGCATGGCAAATAAATTTCAGCTTACTCTAATTGAGTGTGTTATTGCTTCGTCGTCAAACAAAAACTGAGAAAGTTGCACGAGAAACTCGGGCTTTTATATTATTAACAGCTAACTCTTTAAACCCGGCCCTATATAGAAATGATAAGATAAACACGGTAACCAGTGTAATGTAAACAATCTATAGATAATGACCGAGGTTTGCCGATTGCCACGTAATGATAGCTTTACACAAGGTAGCAGACGATTATTTCTCTAAAATAAATGGGATTATTTTAATTCTAAAATAATCTTTATTATTTTTCCATTATTTGAAATACTTACAGAAAATGTGCAAATTGTAAACCAATCCACTTTAATTTAGTATGTTTCATAGTTCATAACAGAACCATTGTGATTTTGTTAAATTCTATGTATATCCTGTCTTTCTCTGCACTAACAGATGAACTAATTTGCTGACATAGTCTTATCAACTGTCAAGTATTTGCATGATCATTGATGTCTTAAATTCATCCTAAAAGTAAATGCATTGCATTATCTCTGCAAAAAAAGTCATATATTTAAAGTTAATTGGTCCTTAATGGAAGGTCTGTTTATACAACAAATGAATACATTGATAGACTTCATTATCAGACAATATTAATAACTAATCACTAAAGAATTATACACAGATGTTGTTGGCAAGTGCGAGATACATGATCTGATATTATATATATTTATATAACAGTTAATAAAATGTTGTAGAACAAAATATTATTATTCATCATATAAATGTTCATGCAAAATGACTTTATCAACATTTTTTTCAAAGATATATTTTATAAGAATATCCGTCTACCAAGTTTGTTCAAATAAAAGCCCTGGGGTCAAAATTGGCCCGCCCTAGGGGTTATTGATTTTCCATATATGTATATTGTAAAAACTTAAGAAATCTTCTTTTAAAAAACCTAAAGAGCTAGAGCTTAGATATTAAGCATGAAACATCTTCTAATTGGCATGTACCAAGTTTGTTCCAACAAAACAAACAAAAGCCCTTGGGTCAAAATTGGCCACACCCCTGGGGGTCATTGATTTTCCTATATGTACACATCTTTTTGAACTGTTGTTATCCCTCAGCAACAGCAACCAGTAATGTTTTTACACATGCACTTTTACAGATAAAAATATGAACTTTGTGATATCAGTTTAAGATTTAGATATTATATCTGCTTTTGTTTATAGCTTACAATATTACTTGTTCCTTGTCATGCAGTTTCTATATTCAGGTGAACGATTTCAGGGCTATGGTGGAAAACGTGCCCATTGTAGACCAAACCACTTTAGATACAGTTTATTAATTTGGTCAACTTTCTATGTCAATGTCAATTTATGAATGATAACTTTAAATTTCAGAATAAACTTGATTTTGTTTTCATTTTAGTCAACAGACTGATGGTAAAATAAAGCATGTTGAAGTATTTGGTATCCAGAAAAGGTATACACCAGAAAAGCATTACGTAAGTATGATAATATTTTCAACTAGAAAAAAAATATCTAAACAAATAAGATTTGTACATAAATCAAGTGAAACACTTAAATTAAAAAAATCTGCAAAGGATAATTAAGAAAAATGCTAAGAATTTACATGAAAATCATTCATTTTTTGCGATTCCGAATCCGATTTAAGAAAAAGCATCATTTTTTGGTTATTTGGTAGAATAAAAATGTTGGTCCTGGAAAAAGAGAGAGATGATCTTGGACAGTTAAACAACTCACAGCTGATTCAGAAATCATACGGGATTATTACTTTGGTTACAATAGGTAAATACTGGTTAGTTATCCAGGACAGTCTTTTAGGTGGATTGACTGCAGATATATGACCAAATAATGTTCTAAATTCAGCATAAAAAAAACAACAACAGAAAAATTACCAAACAAAGCAAAGTTTTGATCAAAATTTGAAGAATGAATTGTATTATATATTTCAGATTTACACTTTAAAAATCGTGCGAGAAAACCAAAAAGTACCAACTTATATTTTCCGTATTTTCCCTGAATTTGTGGAATTTAGAAACAAATTGGCTGCAGAATTTCCTCTCGTGAATTGGCCACCACTTCAAGGAAGGTAAGTGGTTTCAGCAGATACATAGAGGAAATGAAATGATTGTTTTACAGTTACTTATTTTGATGCTGCCTGAAAGGTGAGCATACGAGTATAGTTACTGCTTTGTCCTTTTGTCTTTCCCTTCGTCCCCTTTTCTTGTCGGGAAAATAACTCTGAAACAACAAGAGGTATCAACATGAAACTTTGTAGGTAGATAGATCTCATTTGGTACATGTGAAGTGCACAAGAATTGTAACTCTGCCTTGCCTAATTTGGAGTTATTGCCCTTTGTTAATTTTTTTTACATTTTGAGCTTTGTCCGGGACATAACTGTGAAACTATAAGAGATATTAACATGAAACTTTGTAGGTACATAGATCTCATTGTGTAGATATGCAAGGCTCTTGTTTTTTTGTATGTAAATTGTGAAAAATTATGTTATCACACTTTCTTCAGTTTTGCCTGCCTTTAGTGGGCCAATAAGGAGAGATGAATTTGTTGTTGAAATTAGGACTCGAGCAAATGGTCATTTGGTATAGAGGTCAACTACGTCCTTGAATGTGATATGCTTTAATAAAAACTGATGAATAAAAACTGCTCATGCAGGTCATGCCTTTACGGATAGAAATACATTTAGCAAGCGTCATTGCTGTAAACTAATAAAAAAAGCTTATTGCAATGAAGACCCTGGTAGTTTCATTATCAAAATATAACAGTCAATTTACATGGAAAGCATGACAGAATGATTTCTTTATACGAAAAGAAAACAAACTTATTTATTAAATAAGTTATTTTTCAAAGCATAACACATTTATTGTATAAAAAAATGATTTGTTAATTCTTTTGTCTTGAAAATTTGCATAACTGGACATTGTGGAGAAGGGAGTTGCTTTATAACTGGTGATTTATATGTGTGTGTTATTGAGTGTTCTAATTTATACAGGGTGTGGTCAGCTCCGGTGGGAGGCAAGCGCTGGTAATACTGCTTGCATTGTATGCCTTATGAAAATGTTTGAAACCTTAACTTTCTAAATATATATGTTTCTCTGTGAAATGAAATTTTCCCATGTTTCATGCATATATCTTATACGAAATTACCTATCAAAGCAGCTTATAGAATGGCCTGATTTGCTCAGCAGGTAGAGCCTCTGGTCTATGGAGTTAGAATAATGGGTTTGGCACCTGGTTTTGTGTAGTAATGTAGCAAAAGGGAAAAGTATATATAGGGACATAATACTTGACATAATAAGACTGTCTGATGACATTACCATTTCTATATTTGGGTTTCAAATCACTCGTCTATCATTTCTGTGGGTTTTAATCCCACAAGGAAGCTTAAATAATTTAGCTGGCTCATGGAATTTCATTGGTTCTTCTTAAGTCCCATCTAGTGCCTGAAATAATTATTATTGAGGTGGCACCAATCAGTAAAGCCAGTAAGACACTGTATGACCTTGACAGTATTAACGTGACTTGAAACCCTACAGAAATATTTGGACTGAAATAAAAGGGAAAAAAGGTCTTTTTCATAGATATAATTGATGATTGTAGCATTATTATTTTTTCTCTCACTTTCCTTTCTTCATGTTCTGTACTGTGGACAGAAATTCATATTATTGAATGAGAATGATTTTGGCAGAGTTGAATAGAAAAGAATCTAGACACGAAGGGTCTTTAATAAGTTGTATTACAGGAATATTACAATTTCTTTTCATGGAATATTTTTCCCTGTGGATAGAATGTCATATTATTAAATAAGAAGGATTTTACACAGAGATAAATAGAAAAAAGTATAGGCATAAAGGATCCTCACTTTATTCAATGATATAACAGAAATGTTACCATTCCTTTTCTCAAAAATATTTTTCTCTGGATATTTATCAAAATGCTTATGAGACGTTTTGCTGCATGTTTATATAGAGCAGGGGTGACCACTTTACAAAGGTATGAGTGCAGTGCTTATAAGAAGTGCTTTTAACTTATTTGATCTCACTGGGCTAGCTTTATGTCTTTAACTTCACTGTAATGTAAATAGTTACAGAAATTATGAATAAAAGCTATCATAAGCTTTTAACAAATGATAAGTTGTAAAATTGTGTATGAATTGTGTAATTTGTGCAAAAAATGTGTAAATATATAATATGCTAATCAGTAAATCAGTAAAATTACTGTACTCATCATGGTAACAATATCTTATACTAGAATATCTGAATTAAAAGAATAATGTGTTTAAGAAATTCATAAGGGTATTTGTGGAATCATTCTATGAGACAGCTTTAAAAGCATTGAGAGAATGTTTTCATGTGCTAAAGATATTTAGCTGAATTCATTTAAAGTATTGTTTTCAATCTTACTTGTTGATTCTGGCTTACTACGCTATGTGAGAACATAAAAGATTATATTGCTTATTGTATGTAATCTGAAAATTATAAGACTGTTTATTTCTGTTGAAGTATCATAAGGCTTGATTTAACCTCTTGCTTTATCTGTCAATACAGTGCTTTTTATTTCTCATCCCTCATAAATGAATGACTTTAATTAATTTGTTAGAGTTGAGTCTAGCGATTTTGGTCCTACATGTTTGTGAAATTGATTTTTCAGGAAACAATTTGTTTAACCTTTTAGCTTGACATTCGTACCAACATCAAAACAATAGGCCATTTATGGCTCAATGAGAATTGAGTTAATTTTCCATTTGTGATGTCCATTTATGATTTTTTTTCTCCGCAAGGATGCCTGTCATCGCAATGGTTTGAATCCGAAAATGGATTCTGTCATGTGAAAAATCATGTGAGAAATCGATCCAATTAGCTTGCGTAACGTCAGTGGTTCTACTCAGATGCTCACTTGTGATCAAAGTAATGCACATGAAGTTTACATTGACTACCAGTAGGTGGGACATATAAGGTTGTTGTCCCCTGCCTTTTTGAAGAAAAAAGGGGGATATAGAAATAGGCTCCGTCCAACTGTCCGTCCATTATATTTTCGTGTCCAGTCCTTAACTATGTCATTTATCAAAGGAATTTGAAATAACTTGGCACAAATGTTTGTTTTGATAAGACGATGAGTCATGCGCAACAACCAGAACCCTACCTCCAAGGTCAAGGCCACACTTAGAGGTCAAAGCTTAATGTGGTATTTATATGGTATATTTTGTTTGCCGTCCATATTTCTTTTATTGTTTTAAAATTACTTGGCACAAATGTACACATAAATGGGACCATGTGTCATCTGGAACAGCCAGACACCTACCTTCAATGTCAAGGTCAAACATGAGTACCAAAGCTTAACATGGTCTATTCTAGGGTATATTTTGTGTGTAGTATATAGCTTATTCATCAATCAAGGGATTTTAAAATAAATTAGCACAAATGTTAACAATAATAAGACGACAGGTTATGCGCAACACCTAGACCCCTACCTCAGAGGTCAAGGTCTCATTTGGAGGTCAAAGCCTAAAATAGTCTGTTAAAGGATATGATGCAAAGTCAGGCCCATGCACATAGAATGTTTTTGGTGAATTGCCAACCTAACTTAATTGATGACTGTAACAGACCATATCCTGTATTGATTTTGTATTCAACACATTTTATGGCTTTGAAATAGTGATAACAAGTATACAAATGTATTTCTGTTGACACATACACAGGAGTAATTTCATTATATTTCTTTAATGAATTTGTTGTTACTGGCATGTGCAAATTTAGCATTAATCAAAAATTTGCACTAAAAGTCGAAATCTATACTTCAATTTTTTAAAATAGTACAATTTTGTGCTTTATGTAAAACTTCCCTGTTGGTAATTTTTTTAGAAATTCTTGTTGACTTTAAACCACTTGCCCCCTCACCATTGGAGTGCAAATCCTGCCAGAGGCTTTTGATTCCTTCATATGATGAAACTACCCCCGTAAAATTCCCATTAAACACCCCTGGGGGGCTAAACATTTTTCAAAAGGGGGGCTTTTATTACAACACAGTTTTTCCTAAATCCAAAAATCACTGTAAATACATCTAATGTTAGCAAGTGTTGGAAATAACTTTAAAAAGTGTTAAGATTTTAAAGTTCATATTATACATATTTGTGTTTACTATAAAATAAAATGGCTTCTGAATGATTTGAATAAAATTTTGGCTTTAATTAATAGTCACACTGTATAATTTCTTAATTTGCAAGTGCTGGGAACTTTAAAGGTTATAGATTTTTAATTCAATATTATGAACATATTGGTGTTCTATAATAAATATGCTATCTGGAGATGTCTTTAAAATATATATATTGTGATGCTTATAATATAGTTCAAGGCCAATCATGAATTCTAATTGTTTTTACTTATTATAATGCCTGGTTTATTAGGGAGTGGCGTTTATTAGTAATTTTACGAGATATTTAGATATTTCCTTATGGACAAGTGCTAGTTTTGTCAGTTTATTGCTTTAAAAATAGATGCAATTTGTGGTTTGTATTGTGGGGTTCCTATTATAAAATACATTTTTGATTTAATAATGTGGACGTGTGCCACTTAAATCCTAACAAAATATTTCAAAAGGGTAAAATCCAGTGAATCTCATGTGGTATTTTTATTAATGTATGTAATTGCAGGTTGCTATTAATAGCGATACGTAATTGTTAGCGAAGAATATTGTGATATTTCCTACTGCCTAGACAAAGTTAGCTAGTTTTGTCAGTTATATTTGTATTAAAACAATAACAGAGCAAATATTTTGCTTGTTTTTATTTTGTTGCTAAATTATAAGCTTAGATAAACATCTTTTCATTTAAAAAAGGGGCGTCCGTGGTCGGGTGGTTAAAGTCGTTGACTTCAAACCATTTGCCCCTCAACACTGTGGGTTGAATCCCGACAGGGACTTTGGATTCTTTCATGTGAGGAAGCTATCCAGCTAGCTTACAGAACGTCGGTGGTTCTCCTCAGGTGCCTGTTCGTGCCTGAAATAATGCCCAGAAGGGCACCTGAGGTCTTCCTCCACAAGTAAAGCTGGAACGTCGCCTATTGACCTATACTGTGTCGGTGTGACGTAAAACCCAATCAAACAAATCAAACAAACATTGAAAAAATTGGAGTTAATCGTTCACTTTAAACTTGTTAGACAATGTTCACTTTACTTATGAAGCATATATAAACATTATCCCCTGTTTAAATGCTTAGATTCTACTCTTCGGAAAAAAGATGATTTAAATATAGTTAATTTAGTTTGAACAATTTTCCTATATCTTTACAAGATATTGGAAGCTTTTTGAGTCTGCTTTCTGGATGAAACCGGTACTTATGTCTTTTGAGAAAATATTTTATTTTTTACAGCTAAACTTTTCAACCATTTATTTAGTACTAGTCTGACTGGTTATTTTTCATAACAAACAAATAAGTTCATCATATGAAACAAATTTTAAAATTTATTTTGATAAGCCATATGTTCCTCTTCATAAGAAGCTCTTGACTCTCAAATGTATGTAAAATCAGATATCATTGAAGTTGGATTCATTCTTTTCATTTATTGTGTTTAATATTATTTCAAAATAATATGTGATAAAAAAGTTTTCGTAATAACAGTCTTATAATATATTTTGACATTTTCATTGACATACAAGCAGTATTATTATGATCATTGAAAACTTCAATTTTAATACTGTCATCTGTTTTGACCCCTTATTATTGGCTAGACAATAAGCCAGAAAGGAGTTTACATATATGTATGATTGCTACATTGTTTCTTGGCCTTTGTTGAAGAGAAAGCAGGTAGCAGTTTAATGCCTGTTGGTGTCTGTTTTCTTGTTCCATACATTGTCCTAAGATGTTGAGAGCTGTTTCTCTATGTCCAAGGTTTTTATCTGTTAATATGGTTCTTATAAGTTTACAAAGTGCTTGTTGTTGATCTTGATGTCTTTGTAGATGACTGTAGACCTTGTATTGTAGAAAGTACAGGAAAGGTAGAGAATCAACTACAGCCCAGTCCATCCATAAGTCATCAAGATATTCTCTATGTATCATGTCATCTTGTGTAGATCTGAACATTTCATATTGTAGTTCATGAGGAACACAGTTGATCTCTTTCTGTATAAATCTGACACAAAATGCTGTATTATGTTTGATACAGTCCCAACTTTGCTCACCACATACCCTCAAAAATTCTGCCTTTACTGTTGGTAAAGGCTTCTTGCAGTAGCAGCAGCCACAGATAGGTACAACAGGATATGAGTAATATTGTTGTTCAGTGTGTCTCAGAATTTGTTCAGCTTTCTCCATATCTCCTGTACTGTAGAACACTGAAGCCAATTTAAGTCTGCTAGATGAGGTATCTGAGTTTAAACCAGCTGATAACCAAACCAATGCTTCAGGTGACATTTGATTATTTTCACCTATGCTGGATGATGCTAAGATAGATCCATATGTGGTAAAAAGAAAAGGTGCTAGAAGCTTGAATGCAGCATGTTCTAATCTATTGCCATTATTACTGAAGTTCATCAATTTAACTACAAGTTGCTTTATTGTTCTTATGTTTTCATTTTTTAAATGATTTAAAACAAGCATATACCGCATACTTATGTTAAATGCATTGCTTCCATACGTCGAGGTCAAAACTTGTTCATATATTTGAAGAGAAGAAGGAAAATAGTAAACTCTATGTGGTATCCTGTTCAGTTTTACTTGAAGTCTATGACCAAGATTATCAATATCAATACTAAGTAACCATTGTCTATCATTCTGTATAAGTTCACAAATATTTTTTGAAAGTTCATGTTTTGTCTCAGCTGTAAATTGCCCTGCCATCAAATTATTGTCCGGTATAATGAAATGTGAACAACGGTCATTCTGTACACAGCTGTGTAGTTCCAATAAGCAGTATGTTAAACATGTGAATAAATTGTTATCTTTCCATACACTTGGCTCTGTGTTTTCTATACAATGTAATAGAACTGTTTTACACATGAAACTTGATATATTAATTTCCGCGTGAGGATTAAGGAACGATTTCAGAATCATTTTCAATAATACATAGCACCTTATTTGTGTTATATTTAGATTTGACATCAAACACCTTTCTGCCAGGGATGTAGATATTCTCCATTCAAGTTCAGGATATTCACTGACTTTGCTTCCAGTTGGAACAACAAAACAACCAGTACTGGCTGCATATCTTCTCATGTCTTGTGTTGGCCATCTACCAATACCTTGTCTCTCTAACCAACCTGATGCTGATTGTGGCCACGATTTACAAGGAAAAGCTAACACATTGTCTCCATCAAAGAATCCAGATTGTCCTTGTATAGCAACAGATGGTCCATGCTGCTGACCAAAAGCACCGTACACCATATGATTTATTACTGTGTTTTTAAGCAATACTCTTTCACTTCTATCAGTTATATGGTGTTCATCAGGAATGACAGTGTCAGGAAGAGGTACATCTTGTCGGAGCGATTGTAAGAAACAATAACCTGGGGTAGTGTTCTCATCCTGTATCATGAGATAGTTTTCCTTGCCATGTTCCCACTCTGACCAGTCTTGTATTATATTGAAATCATGCATACAGAATAGGAGATCAACGTCTGACTCAAGTCCTATAGTAGTTGTACCTTCACTTTGGCTCCCTAAATGATATGAAGTATTATTTGTATCAGTTAACCTGTCGCTGATATTCTTCGTAGTCTGTATGAGCATGTAATTTCTTCTCCTTCTCATCACCATTCTTTCATTGACACCAATGTCATCTAAAACCTCTGATAACGCCAATGATAGGTTTTCTCTGTAGTCAGGTTCTTGAAACATTCTGAAATATATAGGTAAAAGGGAAAATTGTTTCAGTCAGCTGTCAAATTAATTTTGTCACATTCTTCTATGTCTCACATATTTGTTGTTTATGTCCTAGAACAGATCAGAACAGGAGAGCCAATATGGACATAATGAAATATAAGATAAATAAGTTGGGGTACATATGATTTGATAAAAAAATATTGCATTTTTTCTCTGTTATTTGTGGTATTTTTTATCTATTATATAAATTTGAATATTTGTTTTCAGAATTTTAAATGACACACTAAAATTAAACACTTATTCAAATATTCATGTAACACTTTCTTACATAATTCATTCAATATGGATGTGAAATTGTGTACATAGAATGAAGTTTTAAACTTATGCTGAAAGTTGGCTTTAATAATATTTCTTAAAAACAATCAAGAGAAAAAAAAATTATTTTCATTTGACGAGATAGGTGGAAACTTTGCTAATTTAAAATCTACTTTGAATGAAAATGTTAAGGGAAGTAACTCACTTCTATGGTATTGAAATTATGCTCATATAAGACATAAATAACACCACAATCTATTCTAAATATACATAATAATATAAAGAAAATATTATGTTTTTTTCTATTTAATTGAAATAGATAATTCATTTAAACAATTATGTCATTTTTTTGACAACACCAAAGTTTTCACTGAAATATTGAATGAAACATTTTCTTACATAATTCATACTACCCGGTATTTGAATGAGAAATTGTATATAAAAATAAAGTTTGAAACTTACTTTGAATGTTGAATTTTATATAAAAAAAACTAGTTCTTTCCGTCTGTCTAGATAGGTGGAAATTTTACTATATTTTTTTCCTCTTTTGTTTTTGAATGAAATAGTGAAGGGAAATAACTCACTTCCTCTTCCTTACCGGTACATTTGTTATGAGAGTTTATTGAATAATGTCCCTTTTATGTATATACAGTAAATATAGACTTAATTATAGTAAGTGATAATATAGACTGAATTATTTCCCTCTCTTTAATAAGTATGGAATGTATTAAAACTTTTTATTCTTTTAAGAAAAAACATAATCCTGACATTTTAAGGATGACAATACTTTCATCAGAAAACTTAAAGGCATGCTATTGGCAGAACAAAGTGAGTCAAAATTGAAAAAATTGAAGACAACACAAAATACACAATAAATTTGAAAAATAAACATATCAATAGTATCTGACATATTTTTCATCATGTTGTAACAATTTATCATGATGTTTACCATTGTAACATAGACAATTAATTTTTCATGATTTTTGCCATTGAAACATAGACAATTTATTTACCATGATGTTTACCATGGTAACATAGACAATAAATTTATCATGATGTTTACCATTGTAACATAGACAATTAGTTTATCATGATGTTTACATGTACCATGGTAACATAGACAAATCATTTATCATGATGTTTACCATTGTAACATAGACAATTAATTTTTCATGATTTTGCCATTGAAACATATACAGTTAATTTACCATGATGTTTACCATGGTAACATAGACAATAAATTTATCATGATGTTTACCATTGTAACATAGACAATTAGTTTATCATGATGTTTACATGTACCAAGGTAACATAGACAAATCATTTATCATGATGTGTACCATTGTAACATAGACAATTAATTTTTCAAGATTTTTGCCATTGTAACATAGACAATTAATTTATCATGATGTTTACCATGGTAACATAGACAATTAGTTTATTTGGATGTTAACAATGGTAACATAGACAATTAGTTTATCATGATGTTTACCGTGGTTACATAGACAATAATCTATCATGATGTTTACAATAGTAACATAGACAATTAATTTATCATGATGTTTACCATGGTAACATAGACAAAAATGTTACGCTCAATCAGACACTCAATGAATTAATAAGCGAATCAGTTTATTAATAAATCAATAATTGACTCTGTAAAAAAATAAGTGATTCAATAAGTGAATCAATCAATTAGTCAATAAATGAACCAGTCATTCAATCACTGAATCAATTATAAATAAATACATCCAAATGATCAGGCTGAAGTTTACGTTTTGTCAAAATAAGAGTCTGTCTTGTGTATTTTCATCATGTATTCTAACAAGACTATTGAAACTGCTTAGTTTTTAGCTCACCTAGCTGTCACAAAGTGACATGGTGAGCTTTTATGATCGCTTTTCGTCCAGCGTCCATCCATCCATCGTCTGTCCGTAAACTTTTTCTTTAAACTACAGCTCCTCATAAACGGCTGAGCCAATTTCATCCAAACTTCACAGGAATGTTCCTTTGGTAGTCAACTTTAAGAATTGTTCAAAAAATTGAATTCCATGCAGAACTCTGGTTGCCATGGCAACCAAAAGAAAAAACTTAAAATATCTTCTTTTAGAAAACCAAAAGAGCTAGAGCTAAAATATCTGGTATGAAACATCATTGTCAGTGTCTAACAAGTTTGTTCAAATAAATGCCCTGGGGTCAAAATTGGCCCCGCCCCAGGGGTCATTGATTTTCCTTATTTGTATATAGTAAAAACATAAAAAAAATCTTCTTTTAAAACCCCTCAGAGCTAAAGCTTAGATATTAAGCATGAAACATCTTCTATTGGGTGTCTACCAAGTTTGTTTAAATAAAAGCCCTGGGGTCAAAATATGCGCTGCCTAAGGATCATTGTTTTTAGCTGACCTGACCACAAAGTGGTCAAGGTGAGGTATAGTGATGGGGCTATGTCCGGCGTCCGTCGTCGTGCGTCGTCAACAATTGGGTTGTGAACAGTCTAGCAGTTGCAGTTTTGATTGGATCATCATCAAACTTTGTCAGAATGTTTGTCTCAATGAAATACAGATCGACTTCGAAGATGGGTTATCTCGGGTCAAAAACTAGGTCACAGGAGCTAAAAATAGAAAAGCTTGTTAACACTAGATGCTGCAGTTTTCATCCAAATATTCTGGAAATTTGTCAGGAAGGTTGTTTTAATGATATCTAGGTCAAGTTCGAAGATGGGTCATCTCCGATCAAAAACTAGGTCACTGGAGCTAAAAATAGAAAAAGCTTGTTAACACTAACAATTGGGTTGTTAACAGTCTAGCAGTCACAGTTTTGATTGGATCATCATCAAACTTTGTCAGAATGTTTGTCTCAATGAAATACAGATCGAGTTCGAAGATGGGTTATCTCGGGTCAAAAACTAGGTCACAGGAGCTAAAAATAGAAAAAGCTTGTTAACACTCTAGAGGCTGCAGTTTTCATCCAAATATTCTGGAAATTTGTCAGGAAGGTTGTTTTGATGATTTCTAGTTCAAGTTCGAAGATGGGTCATCTCCGGTCAAAAACTAGGTCACAGGAGCTAAAAATAGAA